GATGAGTACAACCCTTTCCAATTGATTTTAACAATTTGTTCTTATGATGTACTGTTACACCATTGTTCCATTGGAGTGTTTAGCTCTCGCAATCGTGTTTAACCCATCCACATTCTGTATGTGCATGTCCCAAGTCAGGAGCATGCAATTCAGTGGTTGTCGTTGATTGCTGTCCGTCATATATTTTGTTTTGTTTATTATTTATCATTAATCAGGCCGTAATTTTTTTTCGTTTGAATTGTTTCAAATACTAAGGGTTGAGCGTTTTTAATAAAGATAAACCCAGAAAAGTGCTTCGGGCGCACGAAATTTATAAAGAAGTTAAGTATACATAAAAGGACATTATTAATAATGCATCATACATATATTCACATATAAAGATGTTTAAAGTAAAAATGTGCTCACATATAAAGAAAATTTTGTTCAAAACTAAGAGACGTGTTCATTTAGAATATCATGTGGAGAAATAATGAAACAATAGAACATTAAAGTTTTACTCAGAACACTTCATAAAGTCATACAGTATCAGCCTTACCTTCGAATACTTGAGGTGGTAAAGCAATACCAACTTCCCTTAAGAACACTTGAGTTGGCCAAACAATATCATCTTTCTCTTCGAACACTTGAGTTGGTGAAGCAAACCCAACTTTTCCTAATAGCATTTGAGTTGGTCAAGCAAAACCAAAATTCCCTGGGAACACTTGAGCTGGTCAAGAAATACCAACTGTTCCTAAAAACACTCGAGGTGGTTAAGCAATTCCAAATTTCCTATAGAACATGTCCCCTTGAAACACTCCAGTTCGTCCAACAATAAAATCTTTCACTTAAAACACTTCAGTTGGTCCAACAAAACCAACTCTCTTTTTGAAAATATATTTTTATATTCCATCCCACCATTTTTAGCTCACCTGGCCCGAAGGGCCAAGTGATCTTTTCTCATCAATTGGCGTCCGTCGTCGTCGTCGTCGTCGTCCGTCGTCGTTAGCTTTTTACAAAAATCTTCTCCTCTGAAACCACTGGGCCAAATTTTACCAAACTTGGCCACAATCATCATTAGGGTATCTAGTTTAAAAACTGTGTCCGATGACCCCGCCAACCAACCAAGATGGCCGCCATGACTAAAAATAGAACATAGGGGTAAAATGTAGATTTTGGCTTATATCTCTGAAACCAAAGCATTTAGAGTAAATCTGACAAGGGTAAAACTGATTATCAGGTCAAGATCTATCTGCCCTGAAATTTTCAGACAAATCTGACAACCTGTTGTTGGGTTGCTGCCCCTGAATTGGTAATTTTAAGGAAATTTTGCAGTTTTTGGTTATTATCTTGAATATTATTATAGATAGAGATAAACTGTGAACAGCAATAATGTTCAGTAAAGAAAGATCTACAAATAAGTTGTCATGACCAAAATTATCAGTCGACCCCTTTAGGAGTTATTGCCCTTAATAGTCAATTTTTAACAATTTTTTGTTAATTTTTGTAATCTTTTACAAAAATCTTCTTCTTTGAAACTACTGAGACAAATTTATTATTATTAGGGTATCTAGTTTAAAAAATTTGTCCGATGACCCCGCCTTCCAACCATCATGGCCGACTAGGTTAAAAATAGAACATAGGGGTAAAATGCAGTTTTTTGGTTTATATCTCTGAAACTAAAGCATTTAGAGCAAATCTGACAGTTGGCAAAAATGTTCATCAGATTTAGATTTATCTGTCCTGAAATTTTCAGACGAATCCGACAACCCGTTGTTGGGTTGCTGCCCCTGAGTTAGTAATTTTACAAAATTTTGCAGTTTTTTGTAATTATCTTAGATATCATTATAATATCTAATATCTAATACTATTAATTATGATTTTAACCTTATTTTACATGATTTCCAAAGCATCAGTAAATACAGGTGAGCGACACAGGCTCATGAGAGCCTCTAGTTTTATTCTCGATCAGTGAAACTAACGAAAGGTACACAGAAAAAAATACATTAAAAATCAGTTTATAATAAAGCGTCTAATAAAAATAGACGACAAAAAATACCAGTTCAGGTATAACAACAATAAAGTATCATAGAGAATAATAATAGACGACAAAAAATACCAGTACAGGTATAACATCAATAAAGTATCATAGAGAATAATAATAGACGACAAAAAATACCAGTACAGGTATAACATCAATAAAGTATCATAGAGAATAATAATAGACGACAAAAAATACCAGTACAGGTATAACAACAATAAAGTATCATAGAGAATAATAATAGACGACAAAAAATACCAGTACAGGTATAACATCAATAAAGTATCATAGAGAATAATAATAGACGACAAAAAATACCAGTACAGGTATAACATCAATAAAGAATCATAGAGAATAATAATAGACGACAAAAAATACCAGTACAGGTATAACATCAATAAAGTATCATAGAGAATAATAATAGACGACAAAAAATACCAGTACAGGTATAACATCAATAAAGTATCATAGAGAATAATAATAGACGACAAAAACCAGTACAGGTATAACAACAATAAAGTATCATAGAGCGGTCAATGTAACTTAAGTCAAACTCAGAATACTTAACCTGAATCATTGTCATGATATTGTCTAATGCAAAATGTTAATGTTAATACAAAAAAAATACGCAGCGCAGTGATGGAATTAAATCATTATTTTCGGCGAAATAAATTTGACCCTTGTATTCACGTTCGGGATTTTTCTCACTTTCAAACCAGGTCAGATTGGTTTACAAATGATTTTTTCTTTGAATAATTTAACAGTTTTCCTATATATTTCATGACAAATTGGAGTTCAAACTTGTGTATCGTTACTTCTATTGACTATTTTATAAAAATTAAATAAACCTGTATCATCTCTCTTAAGCATTAAAGACGACTTCTTAACTTATTTGCCTATTAATAATACACTGAACTATCGTAAAACCCTTGGTCTGAAATACCACCTTTATATTTCGGCCAAAACAAAAAATCATCCCTTAACCCAGCCCCAATGTTTCAGACCCCAAAATATAATTATTATTTACTGCTTGATGTTTTTATTTTTATTTTGCTAGATTTCACTTTAAATGACAACCAAAAAATCGCGTTGATGTAAATATTTACAGTGATGATAACGTTCATTGACATATGAGATGTTACTGTAAACGTACGTATGTCGATCACAATAACTGAAACTCAAATGAGTGAAGAAACAAAGCTAATTAATTCTAATGAAATAAAAAGTTGTCTTATTCCAGAAAAATCTCACAAACACACTAAAAACTGACGTAAATTTCTGATACTACGAATCGCTCCATACCTTTTCAGAAAGGTTTAATCATTTTATCCTTCGAATATAGATTTTTCTTTTAATTAAAATTGAGAATGGAAATGGGAAATGTGTCAAAGAGACAACAACCCGACCATAGAGCAGACAACAGCCGAAGGCCACCTATGGGTCTTCAATGCAGCGAGAAACTCCCGCACCCGGAGGCGTCCTTCAGCTGGCCCCTAAACAAATATGTATACTAGTTCAGTGATAATGGACGTCATACTAAACTCCAAATTATACACAAGAAACTAAAATTAAAAATGATACAAGACTAACAAAGGCCAGAGGCTCCTGACTTGGGACAGGCGCAAAAATGCGGCGGGGAAAAACATGTTTTTTGAGATCTCAACCCTCCCCCTATACCTCTAGCCAATGTAGAAAAAACAAACGTACAACAGTACGCACAGTAAAACTCAGTTTAAGAGAAGTCAAAGTCCGATGTCAGAATAGGATACAAAAGAAAATAAACAAAATGACAATAATACATAAATAACAACAGACTACTAGCAGTTACTGACATGCCAGCTCCAGACCTCAATTAAACTGATTGAAAGATTATGTCTTCATCATATGAATATCAGACACAATCCCTCCTGTTAGGGGTTTAGTATTATACCATCATAAATATATGAGAAGAACATAACCCGTGTCATGCCAACAACTGGTTTTAGAATAAATATGTTTAATTCCGATGCAAAGACTCTATAAGTGAATCAATATTAAAGCCAAAATATGCAATCTTTAATGACCTGACAACAGTATCGTAACTATATCCCTTCTTAATAAGTCTGTTTAAAGGTTTTGTTAGCTTTTGAGGTGAATACTGACATTTTTGTGCTTTGTAAAGAATATTACCATAAAAGATTGGATGTGAAATACCCGAACGTATAAGATGTCTGCATGTTGAGTTATATTTACGAATGATGTCCTTATACCGATGATAAAATTTAGTAAATGTTTTGACTAGTTTATGATATCGAAAACCCTGGTGTAATAATTTTTCAGTAATACATAAATTTCTTTCGCTAAAATCTAATACGTTGTTACATACACGAGCGAATCGTACAAGTTGAGATATATAAACACATAAGACAAGGGAACGTCACCATCTAAAAATGGATTGGTTTGGAATCTTCTTCTGTTATATATTTCCAACCTGACCCGAAAGCCATTGACAATGACAATCAGATGATTCCCCATGGGAAGTAATCATGTTATATCTTTGTCTTATGCAATTATGTAATCATATGTAATCACTTACATAGTACAGATACCTTTCTTCATATAAACACAAGTATTTAAAGTCCCTAAATCTTGATATATGACTTGTAGTACTAGCATGTTTAGTATATACAAACAGCTATGTTTAGGCTCTAAATGGGGGTGTTTTACATAGTTTTTGGTCAGTGATATATTAATATGTTAAACTGAAGTAATTTTTAACTTCCGACTCTGGATCATCTTTTGAAGTGTTGAGGAACATTTTATTGTTTAAACTGATTTTTAAAATGAGTATACAAACTGATGCATGATATAACATTTTGAACGTCTAGTATGCGTTTATATTGTAATCTCACCTTCCTACACGACCCTCAATATCTATACAAATTTATGTGATTCTAGAAAACCGCTACTTTTGTATACATCCTGCTATAAGTTGTAAACTGTGTAAACTTGACCGTGTATTATCACTTGTTTATCGTTCTCTATCCGAGCAAAACATAACTGCTGCGTAATTTACTTAACCTTTACCTGGAACAAACATGCAGTCGTACGAATACGATCTTAAACCGAAACGTTCTAATGGAAAACGTTATACATATTTTGGATGTTTACTATTTCTGTTGGTAATTGGCGCACTTGTGGTTTCTATTGTTGCATTAGTCCGACAAGAGAATAGTGAAAATGATAATAGTTCGCTTGGATCTCCTACTCCTGAAACACAACCGACGACGACAACCGATAACACAGTCGATAGTAGAAGTGATAGTGTCGTAGAATGTGCAGTCAACGGTGCAGTAAAAGGTCCTGTTACTCGAAATACATGTGACAACACAGACGGGTAAGTCATGATTCAGAGTATCTGTCAAAACACAGACGGGTAAGTCATGATTCAGAGTATCTGTTACAACATAGACGGATAAGTCATGATTCAGAGTATCTGTCACAATACAGACGGATAAGTCATGATTCAGAGTATCTGTCACAACACAGACGGGTAATTCATGACTTATAGTTTCTGTCACAACACAGACGGGTAAGTCATGATCTAACTTATGTGACAACACAAACGAGTAAGGCATGATTCATGGAGTATATGTGACAACACAGACGGATTAGTCATGATCTAATTTATGTGACACCACAGACGGGTAAGGCATGATACATACAGTATATGTGACAACACAGACGGGTAAATTGTGATACATACAGTATATGTGACAACACAGACGGGTTAGTCATGATACATATAAGATATGTGACAACACAGACGGGTTAGTTATGATATATAGAGTACGGTATATGTGACAACACAGGTGGGTAAGTCTTGATACATAGAGTACATGTGACAACACAGACGAGTGAGTCATGATACATGGAGTATATGTAACAACACATGTGGGTAAGTCATGATACATGGAGTATATGTGACAACACAGACGGGATTGTCATGATACATATAGTATATGTGACAACACAGACGGGTGAGTTATGATACATGGAGTATATGTGACAACACAGGTGGGTAAGTCATGATACATAGAGTATATGTGACAACACAGACGGGTTAGTTATGATACATGGAGTATATGTGACAACACAGGTGGGTAAGTCATGATACATGGAGTATATGTGACAACACAGACGGGTACGTCATGATACATTTAGTATATGTGAACACAGACGGGTTAGTCATGATACATATAGTATATGTGACAACACAGGTGGGTAAGTCATGATACATGCACACAGTTGGGTAAGTCATGATACATGGAGTATTGTGACAACACAGACGGGTAAGTCATGATACATATAGTATATGCGACAACAAATATGTGACAACACAGACGGGTTAGTTATGATATATAGAGTACGGTATATGTGACAACACAGGTGGGTAATTCTTGATACATAGAGTATATGTGACAACACAGACGGTTTAGTTATGATACATGGAGTATGTGTGACAACACAGGTGGGTAAATCATGATACATGGAGTATATGTGACAGCACAGACGTGTTAGTCGTGATACATAGAACATATGTGACAACACAGACGGCTAAGTCACTATACATAATGTATATGCTACAACACAGACGGACAGGCCATGATACATATAGTGTATCTGACAACATAGACTATGTCAGAACACAACGGTTAAATGCTGCAACTCAGAGTATCGGTCAAAACGCAGACAGGTAAGTGATGCAACTCAGAGTATCGGTTACAACACAGACATGTACGTCATGCTACTCAAAGTATCGGTCACAACACAGACGGGTACGTACTGTAACTCAGAATACCTTTGGAAACATAGACAGGTAGGTCATGTATTTGGAAGAAGTTATGTTTTCAAGAGTATATGTGACATCACAAATGGATAAATCGTGTTACTCAGAGTACCGTACAAAAGTACAATAATATATTATGTCCATAAATTAAACAGAAATTATCAAATATCTGTCATCAACCCCTAAGTCAACAAAAAACAATAATATAGGACATAATACAACCATTGAACAGGTTCATGACTTGGGATAGGTACATGCGCATATGGTAGGATAATATCTGTCTCTGTTATTTTCTGTTTCTATTATTCTCGTCGTTTTAATCTTGATCGTAGGACTGAAAAAAGGGTATAAATAATAAAATCCTGTAAAAGGAAAGGTCGTCTCGGTCGTCGCTCCTTGTACAATGTATATAGATAACAAAATGACGCAATCGAAACCTCATTTGTCTTATTTTTTATAATTTGTGTTTATGTATCATATTAGGAATTTTAATTTAACATTTAATTAATTTTTCACTTATGAGTTCTATTGTCCATTTGGTATCTTTCAACTCTCTTTTTCCCACTTACACCGATTCAAATGGTAAGTCGTGTTATTTTCAGATTTCTGATGTTAGGGCCGACAGTTATCATATAGACATCAAACATTTCTTATCAAACTATTAATTCCATTCTGTGGCAAACGATATTTGTATCAAAACTCAAATAAGCTCACTATAGATACTAGGATTAAAATTGTGTACGCCAGACGTGCATTTCGTCTATAAAAGTCTCGCCAGTGACGCTCGAAACAAAAAAGATTAAAAAGGCCAAATAAAGTAATTTATAGGGATCCGACTACGTACATATACTATCATATGGAGGGATCCGATCACATACATGCGTCTGGGTCTCCGAAATATATGCAGGGATCTGATCCCGTACATATGTCTACGAGCAGACAATATATATCGACATATTATGTGAACTCCAATTTATCGGGACCCAGCCCCGTACAAATAGACGTCTCCTACTTCTTTAGAAATATACAAACAATGGGACTATGAACGCTATCGTCACACACTTTTTTTTTGCATTAGATGTTTTGTTTTGGTTTTGTTCGTACTTTTCAGTGACACATGGCATGCTACCAGAAATAAACATAAAATCTGTCAGACAGATAAAAAAGAATACTAGTTCAATGATGACCTTTAATGTAAGCGTCGCGATTCATAAACATAATATGACATGTTTATGGAGCTGCGTAAAAGTAACACACTAACAACAAAAAACAAATTAACGACGTAACAATTTAACAGAGCTACATTAGAATTAGCATGCCAAAAACAAAAACAACAAATAACCACATTGATTAACAAAGTGTGCATCTTTTTCCATGTTTGTAAATAGTTAATAGTGGAGATTCAAGACTCTCCATTTCACTGAAGTTGATATTTGGTTTGAGACTGAATTTTCTGTTCTCGTTGGTGGAATCGTTGAGTTCAGAAGTAGATTTACTGGTACGATATACGTCACATTCTGACATTCGGACATTGGAAGTAGATTTACTGGTACGATACACGTCACATTCTGACATTCGGACATTGGAAGCACTGTTGTACTTTTTAAATATTCTCTTTGGTGTTCCTTGTCTCTGTTTGACCTTTGAACTGCTTTTCACTTTGGTTAATTTTGTTGGTAGTTCAGTGTCTGATTTAATCTGTTTACACGGAGTGGCATCTAAATTCTCATTGTCCAAGTCAGTAGAGGCGAAAACACGCTTTGCTTTTTTCTGTAATTCTTCGAACCTTTTACGAATTTGGGCGTCTTTTTGTTTCAGCAACTGTGTCTTCCTCTTAATCCTAGCCATCTGACTGCTCCATACGATCATATTAGCTGTTACATCAGACTTACTCCGATTCGGTGTAGCGCTCCCCACTTTATTGAAAGTCAACAAATGTGTTTCCGTAACATTCCGGTTCAAAGTTTTTAAAGTATTTCTGGTTTGAAGAGATTGGTTCTCTGAAGATGAATCTTGAACTGTATCATGCAAAATAGTATACTTATCCGGCGTCACACTGTTATTCAGTGTCAGACTCGTATCTGATATTTGTCGCCGTTTCAAAAGTTTCTGTTTACAATCTTTCTGATGTAAATTCTTCAATAAGGTTCTTCTCAAATAGCCAGGTGGCAAGGATTTTCTTGTTACTGCAAATTTCATCATTTTGAACAAATACTGTCTGATATCAGTACTAAAATGTTATAGTTTTACAAAATCGTGAATTTTATAGGAGCTTCAAATCTGTCGGATCTTTTGAACTTCTCCTAGTCCACGCAGTTCACGTTGATTGAACGAATCCATACCTGGCTTGTGTTGACTAATTAACTCATTATCAAAGTCAACCCAATTATCAACATAATTAGCGTATAATTTATAAACAGATGTCTAAATTAATCCTTTTATCCAGTTTAATTTGTCATTAATAAATTCAATTTGTAAGTGTTAATTTGATTCAAATGAGAAAAAAAACAACAGTTTGTCATATTTTGAAAATTAATTTCATGAAATGAAATATGTGTGTTTCAAGAAAAACATGCTATAGAGAATACTGCTAAAACTATCTTTTGAGATACGCTATATGTATAATGTAACAATTATATTTGTTTTCATTAGCATTTATAAAACTTCAAAATTTCTATAACAGGAAAGTATTCCCTTTTATTTGATGTTACTTTGTAATAATGTTGTTCTGTTGAATGACTCCTTTTAAATGACAACTCTGTCTCGCTGTATTTTGGAATTTGGGAAATCAATTGATATTTTATTATCATTGTTAAATGGTTTAAGGTATACATACATAATGTACGATTTGATTTTTTTTTTCATTCCGTATAAAGTTTTTACTGTTACCATAACCAAAACTTTTCTATTTGCTCTTAAAATGATATCATTTGCGCCATAACATTTTTGCGCCAATGCTACTTTATTTTGGAAACTAGTGTAACAGTACAACATAAGAACAAACTATAAAAGTCAGTTGAAAAGATTTAACTAATCAGATCGGTACATAGCAGAAAAACACCTAACAAAAACACAGATCTCTCAAAATAAAAACAGGCACAAAGTACAGATCTCAGAGTAGGCACAGTTACTGACAGCTAGTTCAAACTCAATACCATCTGATAAAAAAAAATCATGTATCTAAAACTAATATATCAATCAGTACACAACCAATGAATTTAGTGTAAAGACGTCTTTAACAGTCAGCGAAAAACACGATCTTGTACAATGCAAAAATATAGGTATCGACATATTGTTGTACCGTAAATATGCATATGTGTATAACAATAATATTTAGTATGGTTTTAATTTACTGATAACAAATCCAATATTTATACCAATAAAAACAATGTTCAAAGACTCTAATTACAGTGATGAATTGGTAACCTTTTAGAATAAGTTTATTTGAAGGATTGATAATTTTACCCGGATTGTATCTAAATTTACGGGCTCGGTAAACAACATCACCGTAAAAATTAGTATGTGCTATTCCGTTTGAAATATCTCATTGTCTTGCTAGTACCTACAATACAAAAATGGGAAATATGTGAATTGAAAAGAACGTAATGACGTTGCGCACGATGTTGGTACGAATTCCATTTTGCTATAGATTAGCATGAAAATAAATACGTAGACTGGTAAGTTCGATAAAAATATGGTGATTTTTGGTTGAATTTATTACATTAGACTTGAAAATAAAGGAAAAAAGGAACCGAAATTTAAAATATCAAGAATTATAACACTTAATTATCCCATTTTTACGCAAAAACGTAATGTCCAACGTTACATTTTGTGTGCAAAAGATCGGAGTTCCGTTTCTTTCCTACAGTATTTTTTTTCTGGCCATCGTAAAACTTCACAAGAGTATTGCCATTGTTATTGTTATTCGCGTGTTAAAGCAAAATCAATATCACTGAAACCGTAAACCGGAAAATGTTATTTTTGAAAACGGTCTGAAAAATGTCCAAACATATGCAAGGTAAGCATATGTCGGGTTTGCGCATTTATACCGTGAAATTGGAAAAGCTAAGAGGAAAAATATTTATGATATTTTGAAAGTTTTTTTACTTTTCTCCTGGTTCATGATATTTTTTTGCCGGAAACCATGCGTATAGTTTCTATTGCAATGACTTCAAAAAGTATAGCCATCTTGTCCCAACGAAAAAAAAACGCTGTATTTTCTTTACAATTGAGGTTTTAACCGGCATTAAACTAACTTGGCGGTTAAAGTTATTTTCTTTTTCTTTTTAAACAATATAGTGTTTAACATTTTTTCGATAGGCAACAAGATGTTTATATCGTTTCAAAAAGTATAGCCGTTTTGTCCCAACGTTCGCAAAACGTAATTGATGTCATGCTCGGGTTTTTAATTTTATATCACAATTATTTGTTTCCAGTTTAATTCGAATGAAAATAAAAATATAAGTTATGATATAACCAATGTATGATAAAGGAAAAGTTTAAGTTTATTCAAGGAGCGTTGTCTATCTGCAAGTTTTAAATCATCAAAAGCAACATGCATATTTTTTTGTTAATAAAATAAAATAGAGAAAAACCATTGCTGGCTATTACAACAAAACAAAGGATATGAATAATGCCACAAAAATACGGAAATGAGAAAAACATGAATCCAAAATGCTTAGCTACCTAGAAATTTTGCGACAAAGAAAGCATCGGGAAATGATAAAATATAGAAAGGAAACGGAAACGGAAAGAAATGCAACAAAAGGAGTATGTATAAACATGCATTAAAAAAAGAAAATAAAATCAAAATCTAATTTATATTAAAAAGAAATATGTATAAATTTGGAAATTAATGTATGATTCATTAATGCGAACTGCTGCCAAAAGTAAAATGATCAATTATGGCCTGGAAAGACTGACAACTCCTATGAATGAATATTCATTAAAAAAATATGTGTACGACCACTTTGAGTTTTATTTGTTAAACTATGCATTTTCAGACAAACCGAAATCGGTTACCAAATTCACAACAGTAAAATGACCTCATCAATTATAAGCTTGAAACGTTCTTTGAAATCGTCGAAATCGCTTCATTATGCGGAACGTCGTGTAACGCTAAGTAGTATCAACATCGTGCGCAACGTCAATATTAACGTAACATTATGTTTGCCACATTTGTGTGACTAAGTTACTAAATGTGCAAATTGGAATGAATGTGTTTAACTTAACGCTATGTTAGCCACATTTCAGTAACCTTTCTTCAGGTACAAGTTCTCTCCTCCTAGTCCAACTAAACTATAGATTCTTGCACCCTTTAAGCCAACTTATGACATGCGTAAGACTCCACCTCGAACAACTAAAATGTTGATTCTTGTACCCTTTAATACTATTCAGAACGCATGTCCAATACCAATACAAAATCCCTTGTGTTGACTCTCTTCTATATACCGGCATTTGTCTGACTAAGTTGTTTAATATGTGAATTGATATAAGTACAAAACGTAATGATGGTCGCTATGTGTGTGACTAAGTTGTTCAATATGTAATTGAAATGAACGTGTGCCCGGTACGTAATGGTGTCTGCATGTGTGTGACTAAGTTGCTAAATATGTGAATTGATACGAGTAACGTTATGGTGGCCGCATGTGTGTGACTAAGTTGCTAAATATGTGAATTGATATGAGTACGTAACGTAATCATGTGGCTGCATGTGTGTGACTAAGTTGCTGAATATGTGATTTATAATGAACGTGTGTACGCAACGTATTGGTGGCCATATGTGTGTGACTAAGTTGCTTAATACGAATACGAATACTTTATTACACCAATCATCAACCAAAAGAGCATGTTTAAATATAAAGATTATAAATAGGCATAAGTAAAATAGAGAGACAATAATGACAATGCTTATGATAATATGAAGTTAATTATAGCAGTTGTTGAGGTAACGAAACTCTAATATCTACAAAACAAAAATGGGAAATATGTGAATTAAAAAGAACGTATTGTAACGTAACGTTATGTTTGCCACATTTGTGTGACTAAGTTAATAAATGTGTGATTTGAAATGAAAGTGTGTACGTAACGAAATGTTCTATCAAATTTTACAAAATACATGATCCGATATGAACATGTGTACGTAACGCAATGTTATAATTTATTCATCCGATGAATTTATTTTTGATCCAGTTGTGTCTGGCAGAGTCGCAACAGAAACGAGAAGACCCCAGCGTGTATATATAAGGACAGTGTCGGGTATGTATTAGACGGCAACGTAACAATAGGAGCGAATAAATGGACAGCAAGACTGAAGAAGACGGGAATAGATACAGTGTATGGTATGGATGTATACAACAATATCAACGTGCAAGTGGAAATGTTCAACGAAAATGCTCTCAGGATATATGTATGTGATACTATTATCCCGGTTTAAATAGTGTTTTTTACGCCTTATCTTGATAAACTTTGTAACTTTAAAAAAGAAGATGTGGTATGATTGCCAATGAGACAACTCTCCACAAGAGACCAAATAACACAGAAATTAACAACTATAGGTCACCGTACGGCCTTCAACAATGAGCAAAGCCCATATCGCACAGTCAGCTATAAAAGGCCCCGAAATGACAATGTAAAACAATTCAAACGAGAAAACTAACGGTCTAATTTATGTACAAAAAATGAACGAAAAACAAATATGTAACACATAAACAAACGACAACCACTGAATTACAGGCTCCTGACTTGGGACAGGCACATACATACAGAATGTGGCGGGGTTAAACATGTTAGCGGGATCCCAACCCTCCCCCTAACCTGGGACAGTGGTGTAAAAGTACAACATAAGAACGAACTATAAAAATCAGTTGAAAGAGGCTTAACTCATCTGATGGATAAAAATACAAATACTACAAATACAAGTGGACGTGGCCGGGTAATTGTACATCCAAACAACAAAAAGACACTAAGTACAGATCTGAGAGTACTCGCAGTTACTGACAGCTAGTTCAAAGCCACTAACAACTAATAAAAAAAATCATGCATCTAAGACTAAATTATCAATCCGTACACATCCAACATCCAATGGATTTAGTGTAAAGACGTTATAAACAGTCAGAGAAAAACATGACCTTGTGCAATGCCAAGATACAGGTATCGACAGATTGTAGATCCATGAATGTGTATATGTATATAACAATAATATTTAGTTTGCTTTTAATTTACTGATAACAAAATCAATATTAGTACCAATAAAAACAATTTTAATGATCTAATTACAGTGTTGAATTGGTAACCTTTTAGAATAAGTTTATTTAAAGGATCGATAAGTTTACCAGGATCGTTTCTAAATTTCCGAGCACGGTAAACAATATTGCCGTAAAAATGAGGATGTGCAATCCCGTTTGATATAAGTTTTCTACAGGTACAACCAAACTTCAAAACCAAATCTTTATATCTGTGGAAGAATTTAGTAAAGGTTTTAAGTAATTTGTGGTAACGAAATCCCTGTCTTAATAATTTACCAGTAATACATAGATTACGTTCGTTAAAATCAACAACGTCACAACAGACACGGGCATAGCGAACGAGTTGTGAAATATAAACACCGTAAGATGGTGCCAAAGGAACATCACCATCCAAAAAGGGAAAATTAACAATAGGGAACGAAAAATCGTCCCTTTTGTCGTAAATTTTAGTGTGGAGTTTCCCGTGTAAAACCGAAATATCTAAATCTAGGAAAGGACAGTTGTTACCGTTTAAATTTGATTTATTTAAAGTAAGTTCCTTTGGGTAAATTTCGGCAGTATATTGAGAAAATTCTTGATTATTTAACGAAAAAATATCATCAAGATAACGGTAAGTGTTGTTGAATTTATCAATTAAAAGAAATTTAGACGGGTCTTTACTGAGTTTGGTCATAAACTGTGATTCATAACAGTACAAAGTCTGCTATTAAAGGGGCGCAATTAGTGCCCATAGTAATACCTACAACCTGTCGATAAACATAAATATTATCAAGGAGAAAATTAACAGCTTCAATCATCTCATCACACCTGCAGTAAGTTTATCTAGCATATGTACCTTTCTCATTGGAGAAGAAGGCTTTAAATGAGTTGCAGCAAATATATTTGCATTCAGATTTACCAAACGACCATTTAATTAAATAATCAAATTTTTGTTTGATAAGATTGTGTGGAAGTGTAGTGTAAAGAGTAGAAAAGTCAAAACTGTCAACAGAATCAAAAGGACCCTCAAAATGTATGTATATTTGAATTGTATGTATATTTGAATGAAAGAAGGTTTAACGCATAACCCGTATTTTTTATTATACATATTTATAGCTCAAATATGTATTATATTGCGTGAAGGATTAAACAGGAGCTCGAGAATAACTTTCTTTTATGTACATTTTTCATTTCCTATCGTTAATTATCCATTTTTAGATGGTGGCGTTCCCTTGTCACCATCTTATGGTGTTTATATATCTCAACTTGTACGATTCGCTCGTGTATGTAACAACGTATTAGATTTTAGCGAGAGAAATTTATGTATTACTGAAAAATTATTACACCAGGGTTTTCGATATCATAAACTAGTCAAAACATTTACTAAATTTTATCATCGGTATAAGGACGTCATTCGTAAATATAACTCAACATGCAGACATCTTATACGTTCGGGTATTTCACATCCAATCTTTTATGGTAATATTCTTTACAAAGCACAAAAATGTCAGTATTCACCTAAAAAGCTAACAAAACCTTTAAACAGACTTATTAAGAAGGGATATAGTTACGAGTCATTACAGATTGCATATTTTGGCTTTAAGATTGATTCACTTATAGGGTCTTTGCATCGGAATTAAACATATTTATTCTAAAACCAGTTGTTGGCATGACACGGGTTATGTTCTTCTCATATATGTTATGATGGTATAATACTAAACCCATAACAGGAGGGATTGTGCCTGATATTCATATGATGAAGACATAATCTTTCAATCAGTTTAATTGAGGTCTGGAGCTGGCATGTCAGTAACTGCTAGTAGTCTGTTGTTATTTATGTATTATTGTCATTTTGTTTACTAGTATTTTCTAGTATAGGGGGAGGGTTGAGATCTCACAAAACATGTTTAACCCCGCCGCATTTTTGCGCCTGTCCCAAGTCAGGAGCCTCTGGCCTTTGTTAGTCTTGTATCATTTTTAATTTTAGTTTCTTGTGTATAATTTGGAGTTTAGTGTGACGTCCATTATCACTGAACTAGTATACATATTTGTTTAGGGGCCAGCTGAAGGACGCCTCCGGGTGCGGGAGTTTCTCGCTGTATTGAAGACCCATTGGTGGCCTTCGGCTGTTGTCTGCTCTATGGTCGGGTTGTTGTCTCTTTGACACATTCCCCATTTCCATTCTCAATTTTACATCTATTTTTATGTATACAAATTGAAACGGCGAATTACCAATAAAAAATTCCATAAAAAGATGACTTTTGACTTGCATGGGTAGGAAAATTCAGCATTTTGGTGTTGTAGTCTCTGCCTTTGGCAATAAACAACACTATCAGAACTCGCCGCATGTAAATTTTACCACATTTATATGACCCCGCCGTAGGCAACGGAGGCATTAAGTGTTACCCTTGACAGTCCGTCCGTCCGTCCTTCCTTCCGTCTGTCCGTCTTTCCGTCAGTCCCATTTTCGTTTCCGCACTCTTAACTTAAGTTTTTCTCAACCAAATATTATGAAACTCATACACAATGCTAAGAACTAAAACTCACAGCCCTTTTTTAACTTGGAAAATTGCAATTTTTTTCCTTCCGCACTATTACTTAAGTTTGCCTCATTCTAGTTTTATGGAACTCATACACAAATCTAAGAACCACAACACGCAGACAGAGTTAAAATTTCTGCAGTGTGTCATTTATAACTTGGAAAATTGCAAATTTTTCAGTTTCCGCACTCTAACTTAAGTTTGTCTCATCCAAATTTTCTGAAACTGATACACAATGCTAAGAACCACAACACACAGACAGAGTTCGAATTAAGGCAGTGAGTCATTTACTGTTGTAGAGTTATGCCCCTTTTTAACTTGGAAAATAGCAAAGCTTAAGCCGGGGCATTCGTGTCCTCAGACACATTCTTCTTTTATTTATAAAAGTCCATGATTCAATACGTCAGTGAAACAGCAACACCACGACACAAACTATAAAAGACACCTAGAGGTCAACAGATGACAGTTTATATTATGCTTTTTTCAAAAATATGATAAAGAGTATAGGTAACTTTTTCAAGCTAAAAGTTGTGTAAAAATATTTTGCATTTGTAAAACCAGTAATTATGACAAAACATACATTTTTCTTTATCTAAAAGGCAAGTCTTACAAATAAGTTGCATTTCCTTCTCAAAATTTGCATATTCATTAAAGCCTGTTTTCTGATAGTTTACTATCCAAGATGTCTGGATTGTCGTCCCCTTTCTACCTATTTTCTTCACTGATGGTCAATTCATACGTTAAAAAGCGAAACTAACTAATCCCTTAAAATATAAGGCGCATTTGTTCATTAAAAGTATAAGTGAAACATCTTTATAAACAAGTCCATTAACCCAAACAGAAAAAATAAAATGAATGACTTTGTCTAAACTTTACTGCGTAATAAAATTTTATTATTATATAAAGCTAGTTGTTAAATATTACTTTAAAGTTTTCATATTAAACTCCTGCAAGTGGATTATATGTTTTTAGATGTACCCAGAGCAGTCTATGAAGGCTTGGGAAATACCAGATGAAGCCCTGGCAATGGACATTCCAGGAAAAACCTCCATAGACAAGTTATACAATGTTTCTTTTACTACAGAACCAGTATTCGGTGTTGTTGTCGAGAGAATTACAAATTCTACAGTAAAAACAAAAATGTGAGTTCTTAAAACAAAGACATGACATTTCACCAAGGTAAAACGCCAATTCATTTAACATTAGAAACGTACAATTGTGAAAAGTGAGAATGTGATTTAAAAAAAACAGAGACTATCAAAGACCTGCAATCTTTACAACAAAAACAGAGCCTATCAAAGACCTGCAATCTATACAACAAAAACAGAGACTATCAATGACCTGCAATCTATACAACAAAAAACAGAGACTATCAAAGACCTGCAATCTATACAACAAAAACAGAGACTATCAAAGACCTGCAATCTATACAACAAAAAACAGAGACTATCAATGACCTGCAATCTATTCAACAAAAACAGAGACTATCAAAGACCTGCAATCTATTCAACAAAAAACAGAGACTATCAATGACCTGCAATCTATACAACCAAAACCGAGACTATCAATGACCTGCAATCTATACAACAAAACAGAGACTATCAAATACATGCAATCTATACAACAAAAACAGAGACTATCAAATACATGCAATTTATTCAACAAAAACAGAGACTATCAAAGACCTGCAATCTATTCAACAAAAACAGAGACTATAAATGACCTGCAATCTATTCAACAAAAAACAGAGACTATCAATGACGAACTCCTCCATAAAGTATGTTTTAAAGTGTGAATCATATAAAACTAAAACACATCGTCGAATCCTCTCAATTTTCAGCTGAAGCCGCCACAAAAAAAGACTGTCTCGTATTAGATTTTAAACATTCTTTACTACAGAATAGACACGACAGTGACAGGTACAATATTTTCCCGCCAATTCATGCAGTTGACCACCAGATTGTCGTCAGGACATGTTTATGGTTTTGGAGAACACAATCACAGAAGATTTAAACATGATATGGACTGGAAAACATGGCCGATCTTTACAAGAGATGTAGCACCTGTGGTAACTTGAATAATTTATCCACATAACGATGAATATGTGTACAAATGGTTTAATATTCCTCAATATGTTTTGTGTCACTACATTTACTAATTTAATGTGTGTGCACAGACAATTTGTTCATATGTATCTAAGGTTAATTGCACGATTTCATGTGAGCATACATAAGAATTTCACTTGAATTGTGTCACATGAAATTTAGATATTTTTTTCTAATTTAACATAATTTTACGAAAAATTTACGTGATAAATAAATGAACTCTTATGTAAAGCCAACTTTTACAGTGCATTTTAAAAATTAAAAAAAAGCAATTGAAAAGTGCTTTATTGTCTAATTGAAGAGAACTCCACAGGAAATTTTGTTAGTATTGGGTATATGCTAATTTTAAATTAAAGTTTGAATGATGTTGCTTAACTTCTATAAACAAAAGAGAATAATGCCAAACTGTAACAATAATATATTAAGTAAAGGGAAAAAAAGAACTGTTCAATCCACCTCAGCTGTTATTTGTCAAAAATTTTAAAAGATATTATTCAGATAACAATTTAAAGTTGTTTGAAATATTTTATTTATTATTTGAAGGACGAATGGAATCTATATGGAGCACATCCGGTCTATCTTAATCTTGAAGAAGATGGAAAGGCCAATATGGTTTTCCTGAAGAATAGTCATGCTATGGGTAAGTTAAGTGATGTTTGTGTGACGTATATATCAATAGGAAGGCCAATGTGGTATCTGCAGAAGAACAGTCATGCTATGGGTAAGTTAAGTGATGTTTGTGTGACGTATATATCAATAGGAAGGCCAATGTGGTATCTGCAGAAGAACAGTCATGCTATGGGTAAGTTAAGTGATGTTTGTTTGACGTATATATCAATAGGAAGGCCAATATAGTATCTACTGAAGGAAAGACTTGCCATGGGTAAAGTGAGTTACGATTGTGTGACATATATATCAATAGGAAGGCCAATGTGGTATCTGCTGAAGGAAAGACTTGCCATGGGTAAGGTGAGTTACAATTGTGTGACGTATATATCAATAGGAAGGCCAATGTGGTATCTGCTGAAGAACAGACATGCCATGGGTAAGTTGAATTACGATTGTGTGACGTATATATTAATAGGAAGGTCAATGTGGTATCTGCAGAAGAACAGACATGCCATGGGTAAGTTGAGTTACGATTGTGTGACGTATATATCAATAGGAAGGCCAATGCGGTATCTGCTGAAGAACAGACATGACATGGGTAAGTTGAGTTACGATTGTGTGACGTATATATCAATAGGAAGGCCAATGTGGTATCTGCTGAAGAACAGACATGCCATGGGTAAGTTGAGTTACGATTGTGTGACGTATATATCAATAGGAAGGCCAATGCGGTATCTGCTGAAGAACAGATTTGCCATGGGTAAGTTGAGTTACGATTGTGTGACGTATATATCTATAGGAAGGCCAATGTAGTATCTGCAGAAGAACAGACATGCCATGGGTAAGTTGAGTTACGATTGTGTGACGTATATATCAATAGGAAGGCCAATGTAGTATCTGCAGAAGAACAGACATGCCATGGGTAAGTTGAGTTACGATTGTTTGACATATATATCTATAGGAAGACCAATGTGGTATCTGCTGAAGAACAGACATGCCATGGGTAAGTTGAGTTACGATTGTGTGACGTATATATCAATAGGAAGGCCAATGTGGTATCTGCAGAATAACAGTCATGCTATGTGTAAGTTAAGTGATGTTTGTGTGACGTATATATCAATAGGAAGGCCAATGTGGTATCTGCAGAAGAACAGTCATGCTATGGGTAAGTTAAGTGATGTTTGTGTGACGTATATATCAATAGAAAGGCCAATGTGGTATCTGCAGAAGAACAGTCATGCTATGGGTAAGTTAAGTGATGTTTGTGTGACGTATATATCAATAGGAAGGCCAATGTGGTATCTGCAGAAGAACAGTCATGCTATGGGTAAGTTAAGTTATGTTTGTGTGACGTATATATCAATAGGAAGGCCAGTGTGGTATCTGCAGAAGAACAGTCATGCTATGGGTAAGTTAAGTGATGTTTGTGTGACGTATATATCATTAGGAAGGCCAATGTGGTATCTGCAGAAGAACAGACATGCCATGGGTAAGTTGAGTTACGATTGTGTGACGTATATATCAATAGGAAGGCCAATGTGGTATCTGCAGAAGAACAGTCATGCTATGGGTAAGTTAAGTGATGTTTGTGTGACGTATATATCAATAGGAAGGCCAATATGATATTTGATGAAAACAGCCTAGTATATGATATGGAATGCTTAAATATTGAGGATGACTTGCAAAGTATAGAGTTCCTATAGGCTGGTACCTAAACATAATTTCAAAACAAGTATAAATGAGTGCAATGAAAAGGTAGTGTTTACCATCTTTCTCTGAAACTGAAAGTATTTTAAAATTTATTACTTGTTTATTGTTTTTTGTTTAAATGTATTTCATTTACTATTACGTATAACAAAAAGGATCAGACACAAGTTATTACAACTTAGATGGTTTTCTCTTAAATATAACTAGTTATACTGAATATAAAGGCTTGCAACAACAACATTAAACAATTATTTTGTACAATAGTGCCAGAAAAGGTACAATATTTCCCCCCAAAATAACAATCCTATACGTCATCATGATTTTTCAACAATATACTTAACTATAAAAAGAAAGAAAGATAGTTAAAATTCAAGGCGTTCACTTTCTTTCGAATATAAAAGTTATTAGCTGAGAACTAGTCTCTATGACAAAAAAAAAAAAGATCTCTTAACTTTTCCAACTGTTAATTTTCAACTTTTATCCAGTACCATTTTAGCAGCACCTGCATCTTCCAAGTGCTACTGTATTCAAGAGAGTTTCCTAATTGGATATTCTTGGTAGAGGTTTGCTGCTTACAACGAAGCCGTTGAACCAAATGTTCTTAATGCTAAGGATATAGTCATCTCTTGGAAAGTTTTATGGACAATGATTATGTTTACGGGAATACGATATATTTTACAGATACCCACAATGCACTAGTTATATTTGATGTAGCCACTGTTCCGCGACCACTTCCTTGTTTCGTTATTTCAATGTTAATTATTGTACATCCCTATTGGGCGTCTTGATTTTTGTATTCATACATGTATGAAGCAGAGTTCATACAAAACATTCTCAAAGACAAAAGAAAAAGCATCCTGTCAAGTTCTTTAGTTTCACTTTCATACTTATTGTTAATGTTCTTTCAATTATTTAGCCCAGTGAACTTAATATCATGCATGAATACTACCGGAACTAAAAGGTCTACTTCGTATCTAGATATTTTTTCTTAAAATTGATATAAATGGACTACTTCAAAAGTGTGATCTATGACAGATGTGAGGATTTCAGTTTTCGTATTGTCAACTTCTCAGTAGTAACATACTCTCTGCCCAATCGTATGAGATTTACATATTTCAATTGATACGGAAGGCGTATCTATGTTATCAATATATGGACTTCATTAACAGGGGTATGCTCCTCACGAAAAACTGCTCCAGCAGGGTTATGAAGAAGAAAACTTTAAATATAGACCACACAAGTTTTACGGACGCATCACGGATTGGTTGAACGATATAATATGTTTTGCCAAACATATATAGTTTATACCACTCTGTTCTATGTGTCTCAACCAACGAGAGAAATATTTCTTTGTGTTAGATCTCAAGGCACCAGAAGTGGCGACGCGGCATCGGTCTCGCTCCGCTTAGAGTTCGTGTGTTCAAAGGTGTAAGTTCGACAAGGCCCTAATATGGTCGTCTTTTTAGGTTTTATTCCAAATTAGTATATTCAATGGCTATTATAACACTGAGTTATAATTAAAACAATGACTACATAGAAAATATGTCTATTTTCTAATGTTTTTTATGACGTCACAGATTTTCCACAAAATTCAATGATAACAGGCTATTTTCATCGGTTTTCGGGTATATCTTGCAACATTATGTTTGTTACAATAAATTACATGATTGACTTGAATATTTAGTTTGTCGAACTCTACCCTCAATGTTTTCTAGGACTAAACTTGAACCTGATGTTCAGTGGTTGTCGTTTGTTGATGTGGTTCATAAGTGTTTCTCGTTTCTCGTTTTTATATAGATTATTCCGTTGGTTTCCCTGTTTGAATGGTTTTACACTAGTCATTTTTGGGGCCCTTTATAGCTTGCTGTTCGGTGTGAGCCAAGGCTCCGTGTTGAAGGCCGTGCTTTGATCTATAATGGTTTACTTTTACAAATTGTGACTTGGATGGAGGGTTGTCTCATTGGCACTCATACCACATCTTCTTATATCTACTTAATCCAGAAGACTTAAATTTCACCAAAATCCCTATCGGGGTGTAATGTAAATAGATATAGAAAGATGTGGTATGAGTGCCAATGAGACAACTCTCCATCCAAGTTACAATTTATAAAAGTAAACCATTATAGGTCAAGGTACGGCCTTCAACACGGAGCATTGGCTCACACCGAACAGCAAGCTATAAAGGGCCCCAAAAAATTACTAGTGTAAAACCATTCAAACGGAAAAACCAATGGTCTAATCTATATAAAAACGAGAAACGAGAAACACGTATGAACTACATAAACAGACGACAACTACTGTAATCAGATTCCTGACTTAGGACAGGTGCAAACATTTGCAGCGGGATTAAACGTTTTAATGGTACCAAACCTTCTCCCTACTCTGAAACAATAGTATAACATCACAACATACAAAAACACACTATAAAATATCAATTGGAAGGCTCAACTCAATCAAAAAACGTAAGTAACACACAAATGAACGAAAAAGTTTGACCTGTGACACCTGAATGCAAATACACAGTTAATAAAAAATTACAAGGGATAAATAATTAAAGTCAAAAGTAAATAAACAGGTTTAAACAAAGTTAAAGTATGATATCACTGTGAAATTTCAAACAATCTATAGAAAATCATCACTTTTGAAGAAACCTGCGTCATATTATACACAGGTAAATGAAAATAATTTTGTTGTTAAGTATACTTCTTCTTCTGTGTGTATAAAATCTTCCGTTTAGGAATACCAAGAAATTTCTTTAATATCAATAAAACTAATCTAACACTTGGTACATATGGGATGAATATCAACAATAAAAATATATAATTAGTGCTAGATAAAACTTCCTGTACAGGTCCAAGAACAGCATCTAAGGAAAAATGAAATAATTTTGATGTTCATAGTACGAAGAAGTGAAAATTTGTAGTAATTAAATACCAAATAATCAAAGCTGGTATATAGACAAGATCTATGTTAACATTTAATAACAAAAAAGCATTACAAATAGTATCAACAGGTCAAATTAAAGTCAACGTTGCATTATAAAAGTATGACTTAATTCGTTCTAACTTCTATAACACTTTCCGATGTGTTTATTCATCAACATGAAACACTTTTCATCTTGAAATAATGGACTTGATAAGGCTCTAAGTGCATTTTTATGTACCTCTTAGAAAATGTTCGCTTGTAAATCTTAAAAGTAAGATAGAAATAAAGTCGAAGGGCTAAGTGTAAGTGGACTATGAAGACTGGTTACTGTTGCATACTAGCTTTTATATGTTTCAGATGTTGTTTTGCAACCTGAACCTTTTCCTGCCATAACTTGGAAAGTAATTGGTGGTGTACTCGATTTCTACGTATTTCTGGGACCATCTCCACACGAAGCAGTTCAGCAATACATATCTGTAATACAAATTTTCTTCATAGAAATAACTTCGTGATTGAAATATATAATGAAAGAGTCTACTTGTAATCATTTATGAAAGAACTGGTTATTTCTTGGAATTCAAACTACATCTATGTCTTTTTAGAAGCAATGCAATGAAAACTCTTAAATTGTTTGGAAATTCAAAATGATTAATTTTTTGTGCTTTGCCAAATGTTGTTCTCACTATGCTGTTTCTACAAATATAACACTAAGCTGGTTTTCGAGTTATAGTTTGTGTACATGAGGGTAACAGTGGCGGATCCAGAAATTTTCATAAGAGGGGTCCCATTGACTGCCTAAGAGGGGGCCCGCTCCAGTCATGCTTTAGTGATTTCCTATATAATCAACCAAATCTTTCCCACAAAAGGGCCCCCCCCTCCCCTAAATCTGCCTCTGGGTAAGACAGAGAAAAACTCTGAGGAGAAAGGCACTATTATGTGACTAGAAAGAAAAGTAATTGATAGAATTTTGAAAAAAAACATATACAAGGAGATAGCTCTTAATAAATACCTTTAAAAAATAAATCGAACAATTTTTACCATTTTCTTGTCACATAACAAAAAAGATTGAATCACTGTACAGTCTTAAACGACAATTGAAAGTTATTTGTCTTTTTATGCTGGACACTAGACTTTTAAACTGATAGGTCTTAGGAAAACCCTTATTATTATCTTACTGGACACTAGATTTTATACTGAATGGGCCTTAGGAAAACCATAAATACCTCCTTATTGGACACCAGACTTTTATACATACATATAACAGGCCGCCACCATAATACTGAATATTATAAGAACTTTAATAGTAAAAAGGCTATTGATAAACCCTTAATGCCACATTACTGCACATTATAATATTATATTGAACAGACTATTAGGCAAACCTTTAATCCATTTCTTTCTTCACTTGTATATTGAAAAGGCTATAGGCAAACCATTAAATCCACCTTACTGGACACTAGACTTTTATATTGAGAAGGCTTTAGATAAACCCTTAATGCCACTTTTTTTAAACTTGTATATTGAGTAGACTATAGATAAACCCTTAATGCCACTTTATTTTATACTTGTATATTGAGTAGGCTATAGATAAACCCTTAATGCCACTTTATTTTATACTTGTATATTGAGTAGGCTATAGATAAATCCTTAATGCCACTTTATTTTATACTTGTATATTACCTAGGCTATAGGGAAACCATTAATGCCACCTTACTGGTCATTAGGATTCCACCTGTGTAAATGGGGATATGAAAATTTGACTGTTGTACAAGATGTAGTAGAAAGAAACAGAATGGCAGAAATATCGCAGGTACGACATACTATGTAAAACTTTTAAAAAATGATTGATAAACTGTTTTGCATCTTGTAAGAAGTACATGGAGATGTATGGATGATATGAGAACGAGGAGATCTAACAATTTTACTCAGTCAACAGAGTTATGGCCAACGCAGCTATCTGTAATATAATGTCACAAAGAGAAGTATTGATAATGACAAATTTTCTAATTATGCTGATTACTAGATCTTGAGTGTGCTTTATTTTTTTATTTGCTCTACATAATTTTGTCCACACCCTGTTATGTAAACAGAAGTTCTTTCATAATATTTTTTAATATAATTATGGCATTGTTTCCAGGGGAGCTTCAGTCTGTTAAGCGTAACAAATATACATTCACAATCCTCATGTATGTATATCTGATTTTCTCTTACAGGATGTGCAGTGGGGAGATATTGATTATATGTTTAATAAATTTGATTTTACTGTTGATAAGAAAACATTCAAAGATCTTCCTGAATTTGTTGACGAACTTCACCAGAATGGGCAAAAGTATGTCATTATTGTGGTGAGTGGAATATTAAAAAAAAATTGGAAAACGTGTCTCCCTGTTGACAAATTCAATATATGTCACAATTGGTGGTTTCCTGTGAGCAAGTTCTACCAGTCACTTGTTTTGGTTTAGTAACGGGGGCGTTCTTAAACTTAAGATGGGAGATGAGTTTCAAGCAGTTATTATTTACCTCGATTAGTACATATAAAAGGCATTTATGGGTATTGAACATCGGTATATTACAGTTGCCCTTAGAAAGGATGCCATCACGAGTAGGTTGACCATTATGGAATATCTATGTTCCGTCTTCTTTTCCTCGGTTGTGACATTACCGAATTTGAGCCATAAACAACATGACGGGCGACACTAGTGAAACAGGATCTGCTTACCCTTCTTTGCAAATGAGGTCACCTTTTGTTGGCGTTCGGGCCTCTTTGTCTTTAGTTTTCCTTGTATAGTATTGTGTTGACTTGTTTGTCCTTTCATCGAATTTCTTTTTTTGCCATGGTGTTGTCAGTTTCTCTTCGATTTATGAGCCGTGGATGTCCCTTTTTTTGCTATCTTCTGCCTCTTTTTGCCTCTTATTTTCTTTTATGTTTTGTTTCGTTTTCGTTTTATTATTTTTTTTTGGGGGGGGGGGGGTAGGTTCTTTCTAGAACGTTGATAGAGGTGCTGCAAAACCAATATGGATTATTCAGTTTTTTTTAATGTATATCGCACATTGGTTTTGGTCTGAAGAAAACTTTATATTTTATCTCTACGTTTCTTTTGATTTTGGATTGCTGTCTAATTCACGCATTGCCTTCATCTCTTTAACTCATGTCATATATTTTTTTTTAATATGATCGAAAAGAACGTTGGTATTGGTGCTAATGAAACATGAAAACAATTGTTTATAGGACGTTCGTATTTGCGAATGGTATGAATAAAAAGATAAGTAATTTATATTTCAATGCAACAGCAACCCAACAACACGAAAATACACAAAAAGACTCCTAGAGGTCAATAAGCGGTGTTTAACAATAGACAAGTGTTTATACTATTTGTCTTAATCGCCCCGAGTTGTGAATTACTGAATATGAAGTGACATAGATCTCCAACGCTCTCCAATCAGCACCAATCCTGTACAGGAAGAAACATCTATTGTATATATAACTTCGGCTTATTATGCATATAGGACGCTTCTATTAATATTAATTAAACTCTTATGAAATTTGTTTTAGCCTGGTATCGATGGCTTTCGTGATAATGAAACCATACTGGAATGTATTGTTTTGTTCATGTATGGGACGATAGTAAGGGAAATAATGAAACCATACTAGAATATTTTATTGTGTTTGTGTATAGGACGATGAGATGGGCAAAAATGAAACCATACTAGAATATTTTATTTTGTTTGTGTATAGGACGATGGTATAGGCAATAATGAAACCATACTAGAATATTTTATTTTTTTTGTGTATAGAACGATGGTATAGGCAAAAATAAAACCATACTAGAATATTTTATTTTGTTTGTGTATAGGACGATGGTATAGGCAATAATGGAACCATACTAGATTTTTTTGTTTTGTCTGGATATATCTATAGGGAGATGGGTTGGGCTATACTTAGGCTATACTTAGTTAAGGTGGCAGTAATCTATAGGAAGATGGGATGGGCTATACTTAGTTAAGGCGGCAGTAATCTATAGGAAGATGGGTTGGGCTATACTTAGTTAAGGCGGCAGTTATCTATAGGAAGATGGGTTGGGCTATACTTAGTTAAGGCGGCAGTAATCTATAGGAAGATGGGTTGGGCCATACTTAGTTAAGGCGGCAGTAATCTATAGGGAGATGGGTTGGGCTATACTTAGTTAAGGCGGCAGTAGTCTATAGGGAGATGGGTTGGGCTATACTTAGTTAAGGCGGCATTAATCTATAGGAAGATGGGTTGGGCTATACTTAGTTAAGGCGGCAGTAATCTATAGGAAGATGGGTTGGGCTATACTTAGTTAAGGCGGCAGTAATCTATAGGAAGATGGGTTGGGCTATACTTAGTTAAGGCGGCAGTAGTCTATAGGAAGATGGGTTGGGCTATACTTAGTTAAGGCGGTAGTAATCTATAGGAAGATGGGTTGGGCTATACTTAGTTAAGGCGGCAGTAGTCTATAGGGAGATGGGTTGGGCTATACTTAGTTAATGCGGCATTAGTCTATAGGAAGATGGGTTGGGCTATACTTAGTTAAGGCGGCAGTAATCTATAGGAAGATGGGTTGGGCTATACTTAGTTTAAGGCGGCAGTAATCTATAGGAAGATGGGTTGGGCTATACTTAGTTAAGGCGACAGTAATCTATAGGAAGATGGGTTGGGCTATACTTAGTTAAGGCGGCAGTAATCTATAGGAAGATGGGTTGGGCTATACTTAGTTAAGGCGGCAGTAATCTATAGGAAGATGGGTTGGGCTATACTTAGTTAAGGCGGCAGTTATCTATAGGGAGATGGGTTGGGCTATACTTAGTTAAGGCGACAGTAATCTATAGGGAGATGGGTTGGGCTATAGTTAGTTAAGGCGACAGTAATCTATAGGAAGATGGGTTTGCCTATACTTAGTTAAGGTGACAGTAGTTTACCGACGTTTAAATCTCGTACATCGATTAGGACGAGACAAATTAAGGTAACAAACAGAAACTGAGAGAATCACAAGAACTCCAAATAGAGCGAGACCGGGTACGTCGGCAGGATAAGTATCTCCTGCTATATATGTATCAGATGCAATGCAAATTCACACTCAGTAAAAATGTCTCAATTTGTAAAATTACAGATCAGACGACTATAGTAGTATATAAAGACAGAGAAAACATGTAGGTAGAGAGTTAAGACACCGACATATCAAACCTTACAATGTACTAGAATATTTCATTCTGTTTTTTGTATACGACGATGGCGTGGACGATATGAAATCATACAAGAATGTTTTGTTTTATTTGTGTATATAGGATGGCAAGAACACTAATGAAATCATACTAGAATATTTTGTTTTGTTTGTGTATAGGACGACGGTATAGGTAATAATAAAACCATACTGAATGCTTTGTTTTGTTTTTGTGTAGGACGATTGAACTGACGATAGTGAAACCAAACTAGAATATTTTATTTTGTTATAGGACAATGGGATGGGCGGCAATGAAACCATAGCGGAACGTTTTTTGAATTTTTTTCTACAGGATTATTATATGGGTGATAATGTAACCATACTTGGGTTGTTTTTGTTGTTGTTTTTTTCATGTTCTTTTATGTTTTGGGTGTTTTTTTTTTTGGGGGGGGGGGGGGTGTATATGATAATGGCATTGGCATTTAAAACAATGATAATGATAAGAGGAATCACCAATAATTGGACGGTGCTACCATACTTAGTGCCAACACCGGACTCCTCCGAAAAAATCACGTCCAAACAAAGTCAACAAATGACACCATATTGTCCAGATAGCCTATATTTGGTATAGATACAACACTTGGTTGAATTAAACGTGTTTTACGTTCGTTCATCACCTTTTGTCTATGAGTCACTACAACACGCATTAAAAACCTGCACAGTTCAAGAATTGATTTATTTTGTTTATGTAAAGGGCAATGACATGTGTGATAATGAAACTATACCTAAGTGTTTGGTTTGTTTGATATAGGACAAACAGAATGGGCGATAATGAAACTACTAGTACATTATATTATAATGTTTGGGTTTTTTTTGTATAGGACAATCGTGTGGGCGATGATATGAAACAATATTAGAAAGTTGTGTTTATAGATATAAGAAGATGTGGTATGAGTGCCAATGAGACAACTCTCCATCCAAGTCAAAATTTATAAAAGTAAACCATTTGTATATATGTATAAGACAATAGTATGGGTGATGATATAAAAATATATTAAAGAATGTTTTGTTTTGCATTTGTATAAAACAATAATAGTATGGCCGATGATATGAAACAATATTATAATGTTTTTTTTCTTGGTTTTGCATGCATTTAGGACGTTGGTATTGGTGCTAATGAAACCATTATAAAACAAGGACGACTCAATAGTCCAGGCTACGAGATGTACAAGGATGGTATAGATATGAATGTGTTTGTTAAAAACCATGATGATACCGTTCTTGAAGGAAAGGTAAAAACCATGATGATCCCGTTCTTAAAGGAGAGGTAAAAACCATGAGGATACAGTTCTTAAAGTAGAGGTAAAAACCATGATGATACCGTTCTAAAAGAAGAGACAAAAAACAAGATGATACCGTTCCTAAAGGAAAGGTAAAAACCATGATGATACCGTTCTTAAAGTAGAGGTAAAAACCATGATGATACCGTTCTTAAAGGAGAGGTAAAACCAAAATGATACCGTTCCTAAAGGAAAGGTAAAAACCATGAGGATACCGTTCTTAAAGTAGAGGTAAAAACCATGATGATACCGTTATAAAAGAAGAGATAAAAACAAGATGATACCGTTCCTAAAGGAGAGGTTAAAGACCAAAAATGATACCGTTCTTAAAGAATAGGTGAAAAATTCATGCGGAGCAGGATCTGCTTACCCTTCCGGAGCACCTGAGGTCACCCCCAGTTTTTGGTGGGGTTCGTGTTGCTTAGTCTGTAGTTTTCTATGTTGTGTCATCTGTACTATTATTTGTCTGTTTGTCTTTTTATTTTTGACCATGGCGTTGTCAGTTTTTTTTTCGATCTATGAGTTTGACTGTCCCTCTGGTATCGTTCGTCCCTCTTTTAAAGACCATGATGATACCGTTCTTAAAGTAGAGGTGAAAATCCATGATGATACCGTTCTTAATGGAGAGATAAAACCCATATTGATTCCGTTCCCAAAGGAGAGGTAAAATCCATGATGATACCATTCTAAAAGAAGAGATAAAATCCAAGATGATACCGTTCTTAAAGGAGAGGTAAAAACCTTGATGATACTATTCTGAAAGGAGAGGCGAAAAACCATGATGATACCGTTCTAATAGGAGAGGTAAAAACCATAATGATACCGTTCTTAAAGGAGATATAAAACCCATATTGATACCGTTCTTAAAGGAGAGGTAAACACCATGATGATGCCGTTCTTAAAGGAGAATATAAACCCAGATGAAACCGTTCTTAAAGGAAAGTTAAGATCCATGATAATACCATTCTAAAAGGAGAGGTAAAAACCAAGATGATACCGTTCTTAATGGAGAGGGAAAACCAAATGATACCGTAGCGGTTAAAACCATGATGATACTGTTCATAAACGAGAGGTAGAAACCAGGATGATACCGATTGAAGAGGATAGGTTAAAACCACGATGAAACCATTCTTAAAGGAGAGGTAAAAACCACGATGATACCGGTCTTAAAGGAGAGACGAAAAACCATGATGATACCGTTCTCAAAGGAGAGGTAAAATTCATGATGATACCGTTCATAAGGGAGAGGTGATGATACCGTTCATACATAAGGGAGATGTAAAAACCACGATGCTACCGTTCTCAAAGGAGAGGTAAGAACCATGATGATACCGTTCTCAAAGAAGAGGTGAAAACATGATGATACCGTTCTTAAAGGAGAGGTAAAACAAATCATTGTGTGATGATATGACAATGTTTGTATCTCCCTCATTCAACTGATCTCTCTTTATGTACCCCTCCTGCCACCACCACCATAAACAAATTACAAAGGAATAAATAGTTATCGCCTTTACCATTCATCTGAAGGCAATTATTTTCCAATAATACAATTCAGTGTTCCTCATTGTGTGTCACAAACGTCTTCATCCTTAAAATAAGAACTATTAACTTCAAAATACGGATTTAACTTAATTTGTTTTAATGATTGCAACAGTTTAATGACAATGATATTTTTAGGCATGGCCAGGGCTAACGGCATTACTCTCGTTTTACTGTTACTTGTTATATTCAATAAAAATCAAATAACAATGATATTTTTATATATGGCCATGGCTTACGCCATTACTCTCGTTTTACTGTTACTTGTTATATTCAATAAGGATTAATTTTAATAACAATGATATTTCTAGGTATGGCCAGGGCTTACGGCATTTCCAGATTTTAGCCACACAAACGCAACAGATTATTGGATAAAATACATCAAATACTTTAATGACATTGAGGGAGTGAAAGTAGATGGTCTGTGGATTGTAAGTAACTAAGTACATGTAATTCTGCGATGTTATATTGATAGTCAGTTATTTTTTGTGGTTAAAGACGACTGCAGATTAAACATCTGAACATATAGCCTCTCTGGCTTTTACTGTATTACAAATTTTTGATATTCTGTTTTAGTGCACTATTATAAATATCATTATATAATTGTTTGTCTCCTCTACTCACATGTCTCTTTATTATTCGTTTCATGGATTAAGATTAGATTTTTGAATTAACAGAAAAACATAAATGGCAATTTTATTGAGCATGTATGAACTCGGTTCTGCTAGAAGTAATTATCCAAAAATTCTTTTCCATAGGATATGAACGAACCAGCAAGCTTTGTGCAAGGTTCTATCAATGGGTGTATTAACAATACATTGAACTATCCTCCATATGTTCCACGTAAGTACTAGACTGAACTATCCTCCGTATGTACCATGTAAGTACTACCCGTAGTATCCTCCATATGTACCACGTAAGTACTACCCTGAACTATCCTCCATATGTACCACTTAAGTTCTACCCTGAACTATCCTCCAGATGTACCACTTAAATTCTATCCTGGGCTATCCTCGGTATGTACCACGTAAGTACTACCCTGTACTATCCTCCATATGTACCACTTAAGTTCTACACTGAACTATCCTCCAGATGTACCACTTAAATTCTTCCCTGGGCTATCCTCCGTATGTACCGCGTAAGAACTATCCTGAACTATCCTCCATATGTACCAATTAAATTCTACCCTGAACTATCTTCCAGATGTACCACTTAAATTCAACTCTGGGCTATCCTCCATATATACCACTTAAGTACTTTCTGAACAATCCTCCAGATGTACCACTTAAGTTCTACCCTGAACTATCCTCCATATGTACCACTTAAATTCTACCCTGGGCTATCCTCCATATGTACCACGTAAGTACTACCCTGAACTATCCTCCATATGTACCACTTAAGTTCTACCCTGAACTATCCTCCAGATGTACCACTTAAATTCTATCCTGGGCTATCCTCGGTATGTACCACGTAAGTACTACCCTGTACTATCCTCCATATGTACCACTTAAGTTCTACACTGAACTATCCTCCAGATGTACCACTTAAATTCTTCCCTGGGCTATCCTCCGTATGTACCGCGTAAGAACTATCCTGAACTATCCTCCATATGTACCAATTAAATTCTACCCTGAACTATCTTCCAGATGTACCACTTAAATTCAACTCTGGGCTATCCTCCATATATACCACTTAAGTACTTTCTGAACAATCCTCCAGATGTACCACTTAAGTTCTACCCTGAACTATCCTCCATATGTACCACTTAAATTCTACCCTGGGCTATCCTCCGTATGTACCACTTAAGTTCTACCCTGAACTATCCTCCAAATATACCACTTAAGTACTATCCTGAACTATCCTCCATATGTACCACTTAAGTTCTTGCCTGAACTATCTTCCATATATACCACTTAAGTTCTACCCTGAACTATCCTCCATATATACCACTTAAGTTCTACCCTGAACTATCCTCCATATATACCACTTAAGTACTATCCTGAACAATCCTCCAGATGTACCACTTAAGTTCTACCCTGAACTATCCTCCAGATGTACCACTTAAGTTCTACCCTGAACTATCCTCCATATATACCACTTAAGTTCTACCCTGAACTATCCTCCATATGTACCACTTAAGTTCTACCCTGAACTATCCTCCATATATACCACTTAAGTTCTACCCTGAACTATCCTCCATATATACCACTTAAGTTCTACCCTGAACTATCCTCCATATATACCACTTAAGTACTATCCTGAACAATCCTCCAGATGTACCACTTAAGTTCTACTCTGAACTATCCTCCATATATACCACTTAAGTTCTACCCTGAACTATCTTCCAGATGTACCACGTTAACGGTAGTACTATCTTGTAGTATCCACCAAATTATATTTACCAATTAGTTTAAATCAATTATTCAAATCACTTTTGTTGTATCTTTTTATTAATCGATCCAGTTTTCGGACTACATTATTATGTCACCAGCGTTTCTGGGAGTTTTGTGGACCAATCCTATTGAATGGTTAATATAATGAGGTCCACCATCTAAAGTTGTGCAGGACATCTTCGGAATTTTTAAAATGGCCACCGTTACCATGAAAACAGGACAAATGCGAAAAATAGGAAAGTGTTCCAAACTTAATGAAACTTTACAGAAATGTTAGTTGGCAGATGTAGATGTGGCATTTGACTTTGGAATTTCCAAAATAGCCGCCATTGCCATGGAAACCGGACAAAAAGTTTTAACATTAGACCCTATGGGAAAATTCTTTAAGTGGCATTTCCTCACTTAACATGGTAGGTCAAACACCGTGATTCTTTCATGGACTGTTCACTGTCATGTGCCAATATGGAGTCTGTCTTTGAATTTTTGGAAACATACACTGTTACCATGGAAACAGCACAATTTCAAAAACGTCTAAAAATTTCAAAATGCTCTAAATTTGATGAAACTTTATATAAGTGTTCACTGGCAAGTATAGATGAGACTTTTGATATGATTGGAATTTCCAAAATGGCCGCCGTTGCCATGGAAACATCAACAATGTGAAAAATCTCTAAATGCTCCAAACGCTCTAGAAATTTACAGAAAGATGTATTGCCATGCATATATTGGCATTCACTGCTTAAAATTTTTCAAATGGCTGCCACTTAGTGGCAATGGGGGAAGGGTGACATCCGCTATTGCTTGCAATGGCAAATCTAGTTGTTAATTCCTTTGCTGCAATCATCGACGACTTGACTTTGAACCTCATGAATATAAACGACAATTTCCTTTCTCATACATTGAACATCATATAATGTTGCCTAAGGAAAATCTAAACTATATCAAATTTTCCAACATATTTAATCACATATGGATACAATAATAAAACAAACAAAATAAAACAGTTTTATATCAATTAACAACCTTAAGATCCTACAAGAGTTCAATTTGATGTATATTTCTAATAACATCGTATTTAGATATAGGTTTTTTTAATATGAAAAAAACATTTTTTTCCAGATATATTGGATGGTCATACAGGTAGCTTATATTACAAAACAATTTGCATGGATTCTAAACAAAATTGGGGCAATCATTATGCAGTACACAGTTTATATGGTCACGCTGAGAGCATAGTAACATATAAGTACGTTTCTTTTAGACCAATATTTTTTTAATCGTTTCCTTACTGTATATATATATTTTTTATTGTGAAACTACCCCTTTACAACGGGGGCAAGCGCCAGCGGGTTACTGACACCTGCGTCATAAAAAAAAACATCGTAGTATTTACAAACAACATTATATGATTGTAATAAAAATGGTACAAGATGCTTGCAAATATTTAAAAGTCTAATAAATACATTTACGCTAAAATATCATAATACATTGGTTATTTCGTAAAAGTACATTACAGTAACAATTTCATATGCATATATAATTGGGAGTCTTTCGTCCATAAAAGATTAAAAATTTCAATCTTGAAACTAAAAACGTTCGCACAAAGTTCAAGATATTATACATTAGAAATATTATCAAGTAGAAAAGAACGTTCATTCATAACGTCTACAAGGTATTTTTTCACGATTTTATCTAAACTATTACCTAAGTCTGGAGAATACAAGTAAACCAGCCAAATTCAGCTAGAAGCGCACATTTAGGGATATTCATTTTTGTGTTTAGGATGATTTTTCCCACTTTATATTGATAGTAATTCGATACATTTTTGATTGATTTGATTCACTCTAAGTTTCGCTATCTTTCCTTTTTAATATTATGTTTCATTAGATAAATGAGCTGTTTTCTGCTCTATGGTCGGGTTGTTGTCTCTTTGACACATTCCCCATTTCCATTCTCAATTTTATAATCAAAATTGCTACTTTTGGGTTCTGGAAAACTTTTCTGTAGTAATTATTAGACGATACATTTAACGAGATGCTGTTTCATCTTGCAGGGCCATGACAACGTTGTGGAACAAGACTCGGCCATTCATCATGACCAGGTCATCTTTTGCTGGTACTGGCAAATATTCATTTAAATGGTTAGGTGATAATCAGAGCCAATGGAGACAAATACCCTGGTCTATTATAGGTAAATTATTGAGAGACCAGTACCTTTGCATGTTAAAAAGATTGATTTGTTGAAGATACAATTAAATCAAACAAGTTGTCTTATTGCACGGCTGTCACTCGGTATATCGAGAAAAATGATCGTGAAAGAATAAGTAACGGTGGTCAAGAATTGCGATTGGATCATGAAAGATTTGGTATAGGATCGTGAAGGAAATCTTATCGAGAAAACATATGCAACGTCAGAAAATAATCTAATTTAATCAAATATAATGACAAATATTGGAAAAAATGAAACTGTCTGTCAAAATGGTTCAACATTATGATCAGCATCCGAGAAAACTTACGGTTTAAAAGTTCACCGTTTTTACAAAACTAAAAAGGCAGGTTACTTAAATCGAAATTTCAGAGAAATAAAAATGTAAACAAACATGATTTTTTTCAAATTTTTAATGCATTAACTACTTTTCTCTTAAAAATATCGTTCAATGTTACTGTTTGAAATAGTTCTTAAAGTTATTTTGATTTAGTTTATTCAGAAACTTTGCAAAAATATAAAATATTTGTAAAAAATTGATATTTCGGATCGTGAAAGATCGGATACTGCATTTTGATGATCGTGAAAGGGATCGTGATAGATCTGTTGTTTATTTGTTATTGCAAAAATCCACGAAAAAGATCAAATCTTTCTTTAAACAAATGTTAAATTATATTTGCAATTGGTATAACAAAAGATTGGATTAGCATGACTTATTCCGCTTCACTTTTGTTTGTAAGTAAGACTATGATGGTTCAATTCTATTGGATCTGATTATTTGATAATACCACACCGACTAGTTTTCTTATAATAATATACAAATTTAAGTTCGTCTGTCTGTCCTGCATAAGTCATATCTATAAAACGAATATCCTTGTTGTAAGAATTGGAAACAAAACATTGTTAAAAAAACGCAAGAAAACAACTGTCATATTCCTGACTTTGCACAGGCGTTTTCCTAAGAAAATGGTGGGTTAAATCTGGTTTTCTAGCAAGTTAATACGCCCACTTGTATGACAGCTGTTTAATGTTCCGTGATATTACCACATTGGGTGAGCAATCCAAAAATACATAATGATTAACGTGGCCATATCTGGGATCCAGCAGCCAAAACTGTGTAAACATACATCACAGATATCAAACATAACTGAATTTAACGTTCAAACAAACTTGCAATTGAATAAAACAAAGACGCCAACAAAAAAGTGTGTTTAGTTGATAATACAGTCAGTATAGTAAAGCATAATTACGGAGCCCCTTAAGTGTCATGTAAATATACTAGTTTCGTTTGACGGAGATTTAATCTGGTGCACACCAGTTTGAAAGATCGTGCACACGACTTTGAAACTCGTTCGCACGACTTGAAATTTATTCACATGACTTTTCAGTTCTACTTTCAAACTTGTGCGCATGACTTTAAAACTGGTGCGCACGACTTTAAAAAATGGTGCGCACGACTTATGAAAATGGTGCGCACCAGTTTAAAAGTCGTGCGCACCAGTTTTTAAATGTCGTGTGCAACGAGTTTAAAAGTCACGGGGACGCGTTTAAAAGTCATGCGCTCGATTATTAAAAATAGTTCGCACCAGATTAAATCTTCGGCAAACGAAAATACTTATTTTAACATGGCACTTGTGGGGCTCCATAAGGGGCTACTGACATAAGTCCACATAATGACATACACTTTCCCGATAAAATACAAAATAAGTTAAATACAAATACAAGTGTTTACAAAATGAAAACAACACTATAAAAACCTCCGAATTGCATCTCTGGACCCATCCGCATAAGGAACGCCAAAAGCCAAAACCTGAAAGCTAGATGCACATATACAGAACCATGTCAAGAGTCAAATGGAACATTATAGTACAAAGATAAACTGTAAAGTTGAAAAAAATGCTACACAGCGTCAGCACCTAGAATCTATAACACAAGACCATCATGTATCATTTGTTAAGTAGACACTGAATATGTATCTATTAGGTCTTGGTACTTTCCAATGAACTTTTAAAGAAAAAGGACGAGACGTTCTTTCACAAAACTCTGTCTCATCAATTTTTTGCTCAGGCACTGATACCGTTTTACAAAATCTGAGTAGCAAGCTCCTGAAAATCGTATGAGTTAAGAAATGTATACTCTATACACGGATGGAGTTGGTAAATCGCTGCTGAGTTGAGGAAAATTTATAATTTCAAAACTGGATTCATCTCGTTTGTCATTTACTCTGGTATTGAGATGACAGCTGTAGTCAAATTCGGGGTATATGTTTTAATAAAAAATGAGGCCGAGGAAGCTGTATATGTGGTGTCTGTAAACTCTAGTTCATGACTATTAATTGGACCCAATCAGAAAAGCTTGTATTGTTAATGAAAAGAACATCTTTAATACACCTGTATGTAAAATTTAATGATATAGCTTCTTGATCTAACCCTTACGAAAACAAAAGCGTACACATAGACATATTTCCAGAGGAAGACCACCGGACCCCTTATCGCTTCACTCATTCGTGGATGTATTTAGAATTATATATACAAAGGTATTTACTTTTCGATAATTTACGCTCCTGGATGTCTTTTTTATATCTTGGATGCCTAGTTGGATTGATATATATATACCAAAAAAAAACATGAAATCATTAATTTACGTTCTTAGTAAGTAATTACACGCTTCAACCAATTAGAAGTTTATCAATTGGTAAAAGAAAAAAAATGTTGTTCCTGATCATGAAGTCTGGTCACGCCTTGTCGTTCACGATCAAAATAATGCGTTGCCTGATCTTCTCACGATCAATTTTGATTACAAATCAACAATAAAGATTAACTTTCAAATATATTATGATATATTGGAATGTGACCATTATAGATACAAAACGTGATTTTTTTAATGATTCCCATAGGATTGTGTGTCGCCTTTTGTGTTTTCTTAAAAAGTACTGCACTTTTTCTTTAACTTAGTGCACAGTATTATTAAGGAAGTTGAATCATTTTGACAGACATATATTTTTTTCTGATTTGTATCAACTTTTGAAAATACAGCAGATTTTTCACAGACCTTGAAGTAGAATTACACTTAATTGCATTCACGATCCGATACCAGATCTTTCACGATCCGATCGCAATGCTTGGCCACCGTTAGTTATTCTTTCACGATAATTGTTCTCGATATACCGAATGACACCCGTGCATTGGCTATCAAACCACATCTTCTTATTTTTATATCAGTAAGATTAAGGATTAAATAGGTCTTTTATAAACCGTTTAGTTCATATACAATACATACGAAGGTCACTGATCAATTAAACATGAAATTGGAAATTAAACAATATTTGCGGTAATATTTAATGCTGTTTATTTTAAGAAATCCTCATGTAAGATTTTCTGTAGGTCGTTTTTACTGACTTCTGATTTAATTCCGTATACACTATCCCATGTTCTTTTTATTTATTGACATATGGTATAGCTTAAGATGTAACACACAAGGGGCACATAACCAGAGTCTTGATTAGAACATGTTTTTTGGGGGAAAGTTATGTATAAATAAACATTTTAAAACAAAAATTGAAAATCGTGTCATGTCCCCTTTAAGGTTATTTTCGCCTCATGGAGTTTTAAACATATTTTTTGTTATATTTATGAAATTTATCAACTGAAAATAATCAAAAGGTATCATAAGCAATACTTCAAAGAGACAATGAATTTCATAACTGCAATGCTGGACACATCGTATATTATGATTATGAGGCAGCTGTTTGTTGAAATTTATCATTTAATCAATCTCAGTTTTCTTTATCTCTTACATTTTATGACATACCCTCTAGAATAGCATTTCATTTTCCACATGCTTAAAATACCTGATAAATACAAATATTGAACCGTATATGACCTAGAATATTTATTTGATAGATTTCTTCAGATTTCGCTATGACCAAAACATGGAATTTATGTCAATGAAATAATTAAATACATGAAGCAAACGGCAAAAAAGCCAAATCTTCAGGGAATGTAAATTGCCATTAAATTAGTGTCTTCCCGTACTCTACTAATTTACCGACAGCTTTACTTTGACGAATGCTGTGACCTTACCATGTAACCCTAGTAATTTAGTCGTTGTTTTCCACTAAGATCCCTCCATACGGAGAGAATCGAAGACTTCAAGGGCTTGAATTATTCGAGTTACTCTTGTTAGAAATTCGCAAGTGAGAAGAGAAAAACCCCGATGGAAGAAAAAGTCAAAAAACGTGGAAGGAAGAAAGTATGTTAAAATGATTCTGAAAAAAAAAACAATTTTAGTACACAAAATCATTTAATATCTATTATGATAAAATAAAATTAACAAAGGGAACGCAAGGGAAAAAAGATTGCTATGCTGTAGTGAAATGTCCCCGCCGGTTTCAAACGTGAGGAAGTAAATTGTGTGTGGTACGCTTTGTCGTTGTGGTACGACATTCAAATGTGGTAAAATTCCAACAACTCTCATAAAAAGGGACAAATCAAAGTGACGGTATGATATGATAAATAACATATGATGGCAAACAAACCAACCAAGTAAAAGAGCTTTCTGTCTAACGGAGTCAGAGGATTTAAAGTTCTAAATTGTCATTGTGGTACCATTTTAAACAAGAGGCTCTCAAGAGCCTGAATCGCTCACCTGTAATTTTTTGCTTAAATCTTTCATCAATGATTATTTTTGCTTTTTAATATATATTAATGAGTGGCTTAAAAATTCCATTGAGATGTTCTTTGAATCTGTCATATTTTCTTCAAAAGTAAAGAAATACATTTTACCCTATGTTCCATTTTAGCCATAGTGGCTATGTTTCTTGACGTACAAGAAAATAAAATACAAAATTTATACTAGATACTCTGAAACTCATTCAGCCCAAGTTTGGCTGAAATTGATTCAGCAGTTTCAAAGGAGAAGATTTTTTAAAGTAAGCAAACTAGATGAACAAATTGTGAAAAATTGTCTTTAAAGGGCAATACTCCTTAAGGACACATTTGACATGTTTGGTCATATTAACTTATTTGTAGATCTTACTTTGCTGAACATTTTTGCTGTTCACAGTTTATCTTTATCATAAATAATATTCAAGATAATAACCAAAAACTGCATAATTCCTTAAAATTACCAATTTAGTGGCAGCAACCCAACAATGGACTTAGATTCGTCTGAAAATTTCATGGCTGATAGAACTTGGCCTAATGAACATTTTAAGCTCGCATCAGATTTGCTCTAATTGCTTAAGTGTTTGAGATATATTAGCCAAAAACTGCATTTTACCACTATGTTCTAATTTTAGTCATGGCGGCCATGTTTTTTGACGAAATAGAAAATAAAACACAATCTTTATTCGAAATACCCTAAGGATCATTCAGCTTAAGTTTTGTTGGAATTGGTTTAGTAGTTTCAGAGGAGAAGATTTTTTAAAGTTAAAAACATGATAAAAAAATTGTGTAAAATTGTCCTCAAAGGGCAATACTCCTTAAGGGGTCAATTGACAATTTTGGTCATATAAACTTATTTGTAGATCTTACTTTGCTGAACATATTTGTTGTTTACAGTTTATCTTTATCATTAATACTATTCAAGATAATAACCAAAAACTGCAAAATTTCCTTAAAATTACCAATTTAGGGGCAGCAACCCAACAATGGGTTATTTGATTCATCTGAAAATTTCAGGGCTGATAGAACTTTACTTAATGAACACTTTTACCCATGTCAGATTTGTTCTAACTCCTTTGGTTTTTTAGATATAAGCCAAAAACTGCATTTTACGCCTATGTTCTATTTTTAGCCATGGTGGCCATGTTTTTTGACGAAACAGAAAATAAAACACAAACTTTATTCTAGATACCCTAATGATCATTCAGTTTAAGTTTGGTTGGAATTGGTTTATTGGTTTCAGAGGAGAAGATTTTTTAAAGTTAGAAAACATGATAAACAAATTGTGTAAAATTGTCCTTAAAGGGCAATAACTCTTTAAGGGGTCAATTGACAATTTTGGTCATATAAAACTTATTTGTAGATCTTACTTTGCTGAACATATTTGCTGTTTACAGTTTATCTTTATCATTATTACTTTTCAAGATAAAAACCAAAAACTGCAAAATTTCCTTAAAATTATAATTTAGTGGCAGCAACCCAACAATGGGTTATTAGATTCATCTGAAAATTTTAGGGCTGATAGAACTTTACCTTGTGAATACCTTTACCAAATGTCAGATTTGCTCTAACTCCTTTGGTTTTTGAGATATAAGCCAAAATCTGCATTTTACCCCTATGTTCTATTTTTAGCCATGGTGGCCATGTTTTTTGACGAAACAGAAAATAAAACACAAACTTTATTCTAGATACCATAAGGATCATTCAGCTTAAGTTTGGTTGGAATTGGTTCAGTAGTTTCAGAGGAGAAGATGTTTGAAATAGTTTACACCAGACGGACGACGACGACGACGGACGACGACGGACGACAAGTGATGGCTAAAGCTCACCGTTCCTTTGGAACGGTGAGCTAAAAAAGTCAAAGTCCCATGAATCTGTTAAAATTATCAAATCAATTTAAGGGTATGATACGGCCAACATTACACGATGGCAAACAATTTTGTCAAGTAAGAAAGCTTTCCTTTCAACGGTCTCAGAAGATTCTCGTTCACAAAGTTTCATTGCGGTAAGATAGTTTAAAAAGTGGTCTTAGTCCCATAACTTCCGTAGAAAAATGATGAAATCAAAAAGACGGTATGATAAAAAATTATGGTCAACAACACATGATGGCCAACAATCCTAAAAACTATTAGAGCTTTTTGTCAAATGGACTCAGAGGAGTGTTCACAAGGCATCACTTAAAATACTCAAATAATACCGTGGCTCAAAATCGAATAACTCCCGTAAAAAATGATCGAATCAAATTAACAGTATATATGGTCAACTACACATGATAACAAACAATCCAAAAAGTAGGAGATTTTTCTGTAAAACGGTGTCAGTCGTGGTTCGGACGTCCGGACGGAGACCATTACCATTACCATATATATCCCCTCACTTTAACATTCAATTATTCGTTGTTGATTGTTTATCAAGGTAACAAAGTAAATTAAGAACCGAAGTTTTTGATCAACAATCAACGAATGAAAGATCTTTTTATCGATTACGCATTCTGGATTCGTAATAAAAAAACGTGCACAGAGGACTTATATTAGTTTAATTTATATGCATGCATTGGTTCAATATCTTCCTTAACTTTATAATCACCAGTACTCGTCTAGAAAGTTGAGAATACATTTAACAACCATCAACGGCAAAAAGAACAAAAACTCTTAAGATATAACTAAACAAAACCATTGACGAGATTCGTGACTTAAGACGGTAGTATTAACTCGTGGTGGAGTTAAACTTGTTTATTGAGATCTCAACCCTCCTGCTCTTAATCTCATTCAGTAGAATATATTAGGTCGTTATGTTTAACATATAACCGGATAAAGATGATTCAAAACTACAATTCCGATAATGCCGAGCATATATTGATATGAATCAAACATGGGGTATACTAATTCATTTTGGACTTTCACTTTCAACAGGAAAGAATAGAGGTAAAAACCCTTTCTTTAAGATGTTGAAAAACCTTAAGACTTAACATTTAGACTCCACTAATTCAACGTTCTTATTTTGACTCTTTGAGTGAAACATGTACACAGCGAAAATGGTCATAAATCTGTATCTTAAGTATTGAGAGTAAATTACCCTTCACTCCCTTTTTATATCAAATGGCTATTTGGGTCATGTGAGCTAAAATGCATTGCCATGACATTCGTATGCATTTCACTTTGTTTCTTTGTAGGAATACTAGAATTCAGCATGTTTGGTTTTCCTATGGTGAGTGCTCTGCTAGTCATAAACAAGAACAAAAATGCGATAACCGGTGTATCTTTTAAGTAAGCTACATTTTACTATATATTGTGATAATTTTTATATTAGAAAAAAAACTTTTTAATCAGTTAATGTAGATAATGATATTTATATTGAGTCGTCGTTATCGTGGTCGTCGACATCCTCCTCCTCCTCATCATCATCGTGTTTTGCCCTTATTATTTGCTGATGTTTGTCCTCTATCGCTTTATATTTGATTTTCGACAATTTACATAATAGCCCTACATATTGTTATTAGATAGGTGCCGATATTTGTGGTTTTTGGTATGCTGCACAATATGAGATGTGCTTGAGATGGTCTCAGCTCGGTGCATTCTATCCATTTGCTAGAAATCATAACGCCAAAGGCTGGCCGGTAAGTAACATTTTGCCGTTTACCAGAAATCATGCATTATAGAAAAAGGCTGGCCGAAAATTTTACATTGTATCCATAATCCGGAAATAATAATGCAAAAGACTGTCCGATAAGTAAACAATTTACTACATGTAAAGCACTCAAACAATTACTGTTAAATGTACATAAAGACAGGATTTTTCTGGCATTTAACCTAGAAATAAACACCATATTTCCCCTTTCTCAATCATATATTTAATATACTTTTGTAATATTGAATTTAAAGAAAAAAGATATTTCACCAGTTTTAATCATACATATAAAAAAGCAGGAGTATAATCATGCATCATGATAATGTTTCTACCCTCCGAAAAGTATCATCCGCTGAATGGTCAGTTATTATATTTTTTCCTAAAGGATTTTCGTATTATAATATCACCAATAGTGAGCATATTTCTCAACAAGCACAATCTTAAGCAAATTGTTTAAGCTTCAAAATATCAAATCAAATCAAATCAAATCAAATCAAATTAACGGATCCTTCGCATTTTTTGTACTCGTAGATAAGCGTAGATTGGAATCACTTTATAAATGCTGTTTGGATTAAGATGAATTTCTAAATGTGGCTTATTTTCAACTGAAAATAAACAAAGATTTGCAGAATGAAATAGTGCAAAGTATAAAGATATTAAATAGGATGCTGTATAGTACCAAAATTCAGCCGGTATCTACATATATATGAATGTTAACAGAAAAGAAAATGTTAAATTGTCAATAAGCTTGTGTCTCGCATGTGAAGAAAGAAGTGGAAGCTAGCTTAATAGTGATGATTCCGGTGTTGGCGGCGTCAACTATTATTAATGTTTCATATTGGGTAAAAAAGTCGAGATATTTCTCTCTGTTACTAACATGTACCAGTATTTATATTAATTAATTTAGAAACCAATCAAGACATAGTATAATACAACGACGGACGGCAGAATTTAACCAGTCAAATTGACACTAGATCACTGTTCACACATGACAGTATTAATATGTCCTCAGATAAACGATAAACTGACCTTCTTTTTCTATGCATACATACCACATAGTCCATATCCCATAACAGAGAAGCGGAAAATACCAAAAGGATATTCAAACATAAAAGTTGAAGACAAACGGACAACGCCGTGGCAAAAAACAAAAAAAAAACGTTGAAAAGACAAATAACGGTATACAAAACATAACATAAAAAACGAAGGCCCGAGCAACACTAACCCATCCAAAAACCGGGGTTGATCTCCGGTGCTCCGGAAGAGTAAGAAAATCCTGCTTTACATGTGGCACCCATCGTTTTGCTCATGTAAGTACAAAATTCAGTGATATCAATTCGAGGAAGATAGGACGGGATCGTGGTCACGATTACTGGAATATATCCATCGTCATCTGTGCAACAGATATTCCGAAACGGTCAAACAATACCTGATGGCATCCAAAACATTTTTTGATGAGATGACTTTAACTTTACCACTTGGATGCTTTTGTTAATTAGCTTCCTTGTAAGCAGCAACTCTCTATCAAAGAAATCATGATAGGAAACGCAAGCTCTGGAATATTGTACCAACTTGGAGAAAACTCCATATGCAGGCTGGAATGTTGCTACATAGAAATGGAAAGTTCACAATTCGGAAGCTGGACGCATCTGTTTTGTCGTAAAGTTTTGTTCTCAGTCGTCCCTTATTGTCAATTTTCAGATGCAAGTCAGGATATGAAGAAAACTTATCTATATTTGTATCCATTATTGTACATAACCTACAATGTATTACAAACATATAATACATTACAATAACAAAATATTGATGGCTTACCACATTGTTGTCAGATGATAAGGAAATCCAGTGAAAAAAAATCTTATTACCCATTACACAAATATATTATATAAGCGGGGGAAAATGAAACATTGTTTGAATCGATTTTTATTACATTGAATTTGGTGAAATTCGGGGAGATCAAAAGATAACAGAAGATTCTATTTATTTTGTTCACATTACCATTTACAGCACCAAGATCCAGCTAAGTGGGGTGAAGGTTTTACCAGTATAGCCAGACGTGCCCTACATATCAGATATAAAATATTACCATACCTCTACACACAGTTCCATTTAGCTCATACTACGTCTTCTATGGTAGCTCGTCCACTCGTGTTTGAGTAAGTTATAAATATTACGGAACATGTACATACAGTTCCTGCTAGCTCATACTGCGTCTTCTATGGCAGCTCGTCCACACGTGTTTGAGTAAGTAATAAATGTACATACAGTTCCTGCTAGCTCATACTACGTCTTCTATGGTAGCTCGTCCACTCGTGTTTGAGTAAGTTATAACTATTACGGAACATGTATATACAGTTTCCTGCTAGCTCATACTGAGTCTTCTATGGTAGCTCGTCCACTCGTGTTTGAGTAAGTTATAAATGTTACGGAACATGTACATACATGTCGTTTGTTGCTGTATATCATATTTGTTTTTAATTCATTATTTTGTACATAAATCATGCCGTTAGTTTTCTCGTTTGAATTGTTTTACATATGTCATTTCGGGGCCTTTCATAGCCGACTATGCGGTGTGGGTTTTGCTCATTGTTTTGAAGGCTGTACGGTGACCTATAGTTGTTAATTTCTATGTCATTTGGTCTCTTTTGGAGAGTTGTCTTATTGGCAATCATACCACATCTACTTATTTTTATATAAACAGTTCCTTCTAGCACATACTACGTCTTCTCTGGTATCTCGTCAACTCGTGTTTGAGTAAGTTATAAGTATTACGGAACATGTACAAACAGTTCCTGTTAGCTCATACAACGTCTTCCAGTTATAAATATTACGGAACATGTACATACAGTTCCTGCTAGCTCATACTACATCTTCTATGGTAGCTCATCCACTCCTGTTTGAGTAAGTAATCGAACATTTATAAATAGTTTCATTAAGCGCATACAATGAAGTATATGGGAGATCGTCATCTCATGTTTGAGTAAGTTATAAATATTACGGAACAGCTCTTCCATTCACTTTTGAACCAGATATACAATATTTTTTATACTTGTCAGCACATGGTACATTGTCTACTTCATTTGAGCAAGCTATAAATATTACGGAATATGGATACACAGTTCCATTTTGTTCATATACAATCGTCTGTGGTAGCTTGTCCACCTTTATTTTTGGAAGTTGATAAAATCACCGAACATTTACACACAGTATCAATTGTCTCATGCTATATTATGTGTGGTAGCTTGTCCACTGATATTTAAACTTCTTATAAATATTTCCAAGCATTGAAATTTTGAAAGGAACAATAATTCGAAACAAAGACCTCGATCAATGATATGCCATTTTTACCTTGGGAAAATAAACCACATATAAAAATAACAATTGTTTGTGAAAATCTTTTACAAAATTGCACAATATTTTTTTTCCCAAATACCAATTTTTCAGGTAAAAGAACTAGTACTTTAAAAAAATAACTGGAAAATTTAAAATCATGTATTATATATAATGCAATATTATTGTTTTGTCTTGTATTTATTTATCTATTTTGTTGTTACTGTTTTTGGGGTTGTTTTAGTCGTTGTCTCTGACTTTCACCAACGGTTTTCGTGATGGTTTTAAATTATGAAAGAGAGGCTAAAGATACCAAACATAAATCGAAAATAAACAGAACGCCATGGCTAAAAGAGAAAAAGACAAACAGACAGACAGACAAACAACAGTAAACAAAACGCAACATAGAAAACTAAAGACTGAGCAACACGAACCCCACCAAAAACTTATGGTGATCTCAGGTGCTCCGGAAGGGCAAGCAGATCTTGCTCAACATGTGGCACCCGTCGTGTTGCTCATATTAGTACAAAACCGGTAATAAGTCTTATTCGGGGACTTGATTGTAGTTACGACAATAGGAATATATCCACTATCATCTGTGAAACGGATATTCCATAACGGTCAACCAACTCGTGATGGCGTCCGTAAAATTTACGAAGGAATGATTTCAACTTCTCCACTTGGAACTCTTGGGTTTAATAGCTTCCTTGTGAGCAGCAAGCCTCTATGAAGGAAATCATTATAGGAAATACAAGCCCTGGAATATCGTATAAACTGGGAGATATATACTCTGTATGCAGGCGCTGCTGGAATGTTGCTACATATAAATGGAAAGTTTACAATTGGGAAGTTGAAATCAAACATCTCTTTTGTCATAAAGTTTTGTTTTCAACCGACCCTCATTGTCAATTTCTAGATGTAAGTAGAGATACAAGACAGACTTAACTGTATTTGTTGTATCCTTTATCTCAAGTTCGATGGGATAGATGCGTTCAACATAGTCACCAAATTTTGAATTATTTAGTGAGAAAATATCATTAAATTATGAATATTTCTCTAGGTTTCCAGAAGATAAACAGACGAGAGATGTGGATAGACAGTTCCTGCTAGGTCCAGCATTCCTCGTAACCCCTGTTCTTGAACAGGTATAATAAAAGCTAGTCTTTATAGGGATTATATGAATGCAAAATTCCAAATAAATTGTCGGAACGGAAAAAAATCTTGCATTTTATCAAATAAATTGTTTTTTTTTTTAATTTGACATATCTTAAGATAAAGTGATATGGTTTGATATAAACTGTGACAACAATTAACAAAAGAATAGAAATTTAAAAAAAAATGAATATCTACCACATGGTTCTTTATCACATCTAGACTTGTCGCCTGTCCTTATTATGTATGGTTTTAACAACTAGGGTGACCTAGATTCCCTTCATTACAAGAGGGAGGGTATTAGGGCATACCACAAACTCCTCTTCTTTTATATGTTTGGATATAATCAACAGTTTTTTTTTCTGTATGACGTCATATTTTTGGGGAACATGCATAAGTGACCCTTAGTGGTGCTGTTGTTTATAAAGATGCCTGTATAAAACTAGATATCAATAGAATCATAACTTTCTCATAGTGCAATTTTAACTTAATAAAAAAATTCTAACCAAAGAAAATGACAAAAGAATCCTCTATCTCAACATGATAAACTTGAAATCAGGTCATATGCATACCCATGTAGTGATGATACAGATGCATTTAAAAAAATCAAAACTGTAGGAATTTCATTGATTTATACCTTGTCTTTTAAAAAAGTCTTGCTTCAGGGAGCATTTGCCTGCTCCTGAAAGAGCAAGAACAGCTACAAATTAGTTTTCAATTTTCGCTATTGTTTCGGAACAAATTTAAAATATGTTTTATATTTTTAGAATTAAACATGTTATTTTTACAGGGCAAGTCTTCTGTTGAAGGATATTTTCCAAAACAACGATGGTATAATTATTATGATGTACGTATTATCCTGTTTTTTTCATTGACCAAAAATTAATGGTTTGTTTTAAATTACCAATCGAAATAATTGAACTTTACAAAATACACACGTATATTGAAACAATCTCATACAAGAACCAAGGGTATAGTTGGAGTCATCTCTTCGGAAGTTTTATGGACGCCATCATGATTTTGTTGACAATTAGGGAAAATTTGATACAGAGATAATCACTGATATGTTCTATTTGTTGTAGCCATAATCCCACCCTTTTTTTCGTCCGTGGAAAGCAACAGAACTTAAACGTATGTTGTATTTCGTAATTAAAACAGGCGTTGTTAATTAAAACCTGTGTATACAGTTTCAATTTTAATAATTTTGCTGTAGATTTGTAATAATACATTTAAAGATAGATAAGTAATGCATTGTGCAGGTTCAAAACTTATTTAATGCTTCGTCTTTTTTTTACGAGAACGGCGTTTAATACATGTGCCTAACATAAAATCACAAACTTCATCGATGATTTATACCAATAATTTCAGTGATCATTGCGTTTTGAGTTCCGGAGTTGTTCTTCCAATACGATCTTTCTTTTCTTGGTGTTGTTCATTCATTTATGGAACTGATTTGTTATTCAAGGCTATTGTGTTATAGGTTTTAATTTTATTGAGAGAATTTGTCTTTAAGGGTACTGAATTTGCAGTATCAGGACAGCGTATCACTGTTGATGCTCCATTGTCTATCATACCCTTACATTTGCGTGGAGGGTATATCCTACCCACTCAACAGCCAGCTAATACAACAGTATACAGGTATGGATACCAAATATCAGCAATTATAAACATAATGTCTTTATCATTATATAATCATATACTAACATGTATATCGATATACCAAGCCCCATTTTCAACCAATCCATGCCGATATGTAAAAAGAATCACAAAAAACATTGTTGAACTATAATCGATGAACAATGCCCAATTTCTAATTATGCACACCCAATATACATTTACGTGGAAGCTATATTTCCTGCCAAGTCAACAGACAGCTAATTAATACAACAACATTTGAGTATTGATATTTAACTTCCTATAATATAAAACTAAGAAAGGTAGAAATCACTAGAAAACGAAACTCAACAAATTTGAATTCATATAAATGATAGAAGAGACTATTGAGCGCCTCTACTAACAGTACACATATGGTGCTAAATATATACAAAACCACCTCACTACAGATGATAAGATCTCGAACAAAACAGATTCACATTCAACTATATTCATCATGTCCTTTTACTCAATAGTATTTCTTTCATTGAGCTCTTACACCTTGTATATCCCTTCTGACTAGAAATTAAAGATACAAGAGCGACAAAAAGGTCTGCTTTGTTTTAAAGATATTTGACAGGAAACAATGTATGAACAGTTCAATTAATTTGGATTCGTTGCATACCGAATTCAAGAAACAAACAGATCGAACGATATAAATGGAAGTTGTACAAATTAGCTTATCATTCAAGGCAAAGACAAAATAGTATGCCTAATCTATCCCAATGTGAGGAAATTTATATGTGAACGCTAAATGACTACATTTTTCTTATAGTAACTATTTAATATACTTCTTACTTTAAAGTCGTCAGCGACCAATGGGATTGATTGTAGCAATTGATGAAGATACATCAGCTAGAGGAGAGTTATTCTGGGATGATGGAGAATCTATAGGTAAGAAAAGATCACACGACTTTAGTGGACAATTGTTCTGGGGTAATTGAGAGTCTTTAGGTAATTATATAGATCATACTACTAGTTGACAATTGGTCTGGGCTAATTGAGAGTCTATGGGTGATTATATAGCATACACCTGCTAGTGGACAATTTGTCTGGCCTATTTGAGAGTTTATGGGTAATCAAAGAGTATACAACTGCTAGTGAAGAATTGGTCTGCGGTAATTGAGAGTCTATAAGTAATTAAGATCATACAACTGATAGTGGACAATTGTTCTGAGGTTATTGAGAGTCCATAAGTAATTAAAAGACTACAGTTGATAGCGGACAATCGTTTTGGGATGATTGAGAATCAACATATAAGTCAAGATTATACAGCTGCTGTTTGACAATTGTTGTGGGATGGTTGAAAATCTACAACTAAGATCATACAACTGCTAGAGGAGAATTGTTCTGGGGTATTTGAGAATCTACAAGTAAATCATACAACTGATGAAGAAGATTTGTTCTGGGATGGTTGAGAATCTACAACTAAGACCATACAACTTCTAGAGGGGAATTGTTGTGGGATGGTTGAGAATCTACAACTAAGATCATACAACTGCTACAGGAGAATTGTTCTGGGGTATTTGAGAATCTACAAGTAAATCATACAACTGATGAAGAAGAATTGTTCTGGGATGGTTGAGAATCTAGAACTAAGATCATACAACTGCTAGAGGAGAATTGTTGCGGATGGTTGAGAATCTACAAGTAAGATCATACAACTGCTAGAGGAGAATTGTTGTGGGGTATTTCAAAATCAACAAGTAAATCATACAACTGCTAGAGGAGAATTGTTGTGGTATGGTTGAGAATCTACAACTAAAATCATACAACTGCTAGAGGAGAATTGTTGTGGGATGGTTGAGAATCTACAACTAAAATCATACAATTGCTAGAGGAGAATTGTTGTGGGATGGTTGAGAATCTACAAGTAAGATCATACAACTGTTAAAGGAGAATTGTTGTGGGGTATTTCAATCAAAATCTACAAGTAAATCATACAACTGCTAGAGGAGAATTGTTGTGGTATGGTTGAGAATCTACAACTAAAATCATACAACAGCTAGAGGAGAATTGTTTTGGGATGGTTGAGAATCTACAACTAAAATCATACAACTGCTAGAGGAGAATTGTTGTGGGATGGTTGAGAATCTACAAGTAAGATCATACAACTGCTAAAGGATAAAATTGAGAATGGAAATGGGGAATGTGTCAAAGAGACAACAACCCGACCATAGAGCAGACAACAGCCGAAGGCCACCAATGGGTCTTCAATGCAGCGAGAAACTCCCGCACCCGGAGGCGTCCTTCAGCTGGCCCCTAAACAAATATGTATACTAGTTCAGTGATAATGGACGTCATACTAAACTCCAAATTATACACAAGAAACTTAAATTAAAAATGATACAAGACTAACAAAGGCCAGAGGCTCCTCAGTTGGGACAGGCGCAAAAATGCGGCGGGGTTAAACATGTTTTTTGAGATCTGAACCCTCCCCCTATACCTCTAGCCAATGTAGAAAATACAAACGTACAACAGTACGCACAGTAAAACTCAGTTTAAGAGAAGTCCGAGTCCGATGTCAGAATAGGAAACAAAAGAAAATAAACAAAATGACAATAATACATAAATAACAACAGACTACTAGCAGTTACTGACATGCCAGCTCCAGACCTCAATTAAACTGATTGAAAGATTATGTCTTCATCATATGAATATCAGGTACAATCCCTCCTGTTAGGGGTTTAGTATTATACCGTCATAAAATATATGAGAAGAACATAACCCGTGTCATGCCAACATTGTTGTGGGGTATTTCAAAATCTACAAGTAAATCATACAACTGCTAGAGGAGAATTGTTGTGGGATGGTTGAGAATCTGCAACTAAGATCATACAACTGCTAAAGGAGAATTTTTGTGGGATGGTTGAGAATCTACAAGTAAATCATACAACTGCTAGGCGAGAATTGTTCTGGGATGGTTGAGATTATATAAGCAAGATCATACAACTGCTAGCGGAGAATTGTTGTGGGATGGTTGAGAATCTTCAAGTAAATCATACAACTGATAGAGGAGAATTGCTCTGGGATGGTTGAGAATCTACAACTAAGATCATACAACTGCTAGAGGAGAATTGTTGTGGGATGGTTGAGAATCTTCAAGTAAATCATACAACTGCTAGAGGAGAATTGTTGTGGGATGGTTGATAATATATAAGTAAGTATATATAATATAACTGGATGATTGTCCTGGGATGATGGAGATTCAAAAGGTAAACAAAAAAATCATAAAAAAGCTAGAGAAGTATGGTTAGGGTGTGATGGATATTTCATTGGTAAATATATATCTAGGATCTGTGGGACACATATTTCCTGTTTTCTGACACTCTTAATTACGAGTGGTTGTATGCATAGCACGATGCGTTCATTCTTGTATAAATTTAAAGTTCGGTTCCTTTTGAATTAATGGTATGTTAGATGTTTTTTTTTATATTCACTTTATATGGATAAATACCGGTAAAGCTGATAAGCAGTGTTTGGTAATGGATTGATGCAGTTACTTTCTCAAATATAGATTTATCATTGGTCCTTGTTATATTGTATGTTTTTGAAGAAGTATCATTAAATGAATAACAAGCCCAAGCAGGAACATTTCAAAGCAAACAAATAATTGTTGGATATGTTTTTTTTTCTGTTGAAGATTCTTTTACCCGAGGAGAATATTTAAAAGCGGAAATGTCAGCAACAAAGGTAATTAGCCTATATACGGTCTGAGATTCTACTTAAGATTTTAGTAATAAGCGTTATAGAATATATTAATTTCCACAAGTAAATATCAGCTTTTAGTTCCTGTAGAATAATGTAGATATTCTAATTGATTTCTATACTCTTAACGGATATTTGTTAACATACACAATGTTTAAATGATTCAGTTCATTCTTAATTTTTTAGTTGATCTCAGTAACCTTGGGACATCTTTTGTTAAAATCAAGCTTTAAAACTTATTCAATGAACTTATTTCGTGATGCCCTTAATTTGTTATGAAACAGCAATGTTCACATATAATTCAGTTTAGCATTTTTACACAATGCGAGTATTCCATTTAATTTGCATTTGATGTCTGTATTTTTCACATTCAAATACGAGTTTTGAGCTTTATAGAAAAATTGCATGACAGTTTTAGCATTAATCTGTTCATATAGTACGTATTTAAATGCCTTCTAGAGATTTCAAGAAAAATTGCATTGTTGGTTTGGAATATTTTGTCTGTTTGTAGTTCTTTCCGATTTTCCATTATTTTCGCATTACATTTTCCACATTGCTTAGTCTTAAAATGTTAGTTTTCTATATAGTGTTTGCAGACTGTTTTCTTGTCTTTTTATCTATTTTCTTTTAGAATATGGTATTGTCTGTTTGTTTTCGATATTTTTTAATGTCCCCATGGTATATTCTGCCTATTTCTTATAACCCACGTTCTTAAATACTTGTTGGAAAACTACATTCTATATGCTTTCTTTCTTTTGTTGAATACTTTATGCTACATGTATCAGTATCTTTTATTTTGTATATTTACAGGGGAAATACCTTGAGTATAAGGTTGTTAAAAGTGGTTATACAGCAGCAGCATCATTAGTCATTGATACGATAGAGTTATATGGACTTTTTGGATTTCCAGAGCGTGTAATAGTGGATTCAGTACAAATCCCTACATCTAGTGTACGGAGTAAAGAAAAAGTAAGTTATTAATTTAAGGTCTGGAAGCATTACCAGAATGCTAAAAAGTATTCAAACTTTTAATTAATAATGAATAATTCATTGCAAAAGTGAAATATACATTCAAAAAACGTAATAAAAACTTAAAAAATCATGGTTTGTCAAAACTGTATGTCACTACAAGACTCTTATTATAGCCATGAAGTTAATTTTTAAGGAGTTTAATGACGTGTATGCTCGGCCGACTTACAAACTGATTTAAACCCGAAATTAAGCTTGCAAATGAGCCGTCGAGTTTGCAGAGTTTGTAAACAATCTTTATTACTTATAATTCAAATAAAATACACAATAAATTATGTCGAATAAAGACCCAAAAAAAAGTTATAATATCAGTCTTACTTTTATAACGAAGTGAGGCCGGGACATTTTCTTCTACGCGTGTATCACCCGATTCAGCGGTAAATGGTACGGTCAAAAACATTAAAAATATCTGTAATTATTACACTTATAACATAGTTGCAGTAGTTTTAACACAAGATCACATCTCTCATTGTGAAATCGTTGTAAGTAGTAATATAGCTCATCACGTATTCAGGAAGCTTTACAATCTTAGCTTTCAAATTTTTGAACGTTCTTGGTGAAGGTCAATCAAGAAATGTGATTCGGACGCACAAAATTTTTAAAGTGTTATTTTCATTGACCATAGGAAAATTAAAATCGTAAAGCTTAGATTTTTATTGGATATTTTAATTTTTTTTGCAGATTATAGAATTAGTTGGTTTGAACCTAAATATAACAGAAAATCATAGTATAAGCTGGGAGTTCTTCTGAGAATTATGAAAAGTGAATGTGAACTTTTTACTATTAATTGTGTTCATTTTATTTTAGAAGCAATACCAATACGATTTTTACTTATAGAGCTTTATATAATCGTCATTTTATGTATTAGTTAAATAATAAAATACATCTTAATATTTAGAATTGGTGTTACCCATCCCCACACTAATATGAAAGATGAATGTAATATCATTAACAGTAACAATTTTACTGCACCAGATAGGCATTTCCACAATTAATTGCTCCTCTGTTCGAGGCCAAAATATTTGGAAATCAAATACCTAATATATTCGTTGAAGAGCTGATAAACCCCCCAAAATGCCAAAATTAAACCTTTCTATAATTTGCATCATACAAAAGCAACAGCAGTTTACCAGATTCATGGTTGGTGTGTTGTCTGTACAATTCCGCTTCTAATTAAAGTATAGATATATAGACACATCCGCAAAAGAAGTATTGGAATGTCTTGTTTTGGATTTTTTTTTTCTTTTTACAATGTTGATTCTCCTTATAAGAGATATGTTGGTGTCTTTTTTACAATGTTAACACTCCTAAAAAGTGATATTTGGAGGTCTTTTTTACTGTGTTGACACTTATAAAATGTGATATTTGGATTTAATTTTTACAGTGTTGACACTCCTAAAGAGACATATCTAGTTGTCTTTTTTTCATGTTGACTCTCCTAAAAAGTGTTACTTGGACGTTTTTTTACATGATGCATATTAAAATTCCACTTATGTTCAAAACGGTTTACACTTTTAATATGTAGGAATAATTTCCCTTGACTGTATTTACCGCCAAAGGAGATATGGTATGATTAACAAGGAGACAGCAGCGTGGTGTCCATTTCACTGAACTAGTATATATTATTGTTTAGAGGGCAGCTAAAGTCCGCCTCATAGGTTGGGAATTTTCTCGCTGAGCTGGAGACCTATTGGTGGCATTCAGCTGTTTTCTGCTCTTTGGTCGGGTTGTTGTCTCTTTGACACACGTCCCGTTTCCATCCTCTGTTCTATCTACAAGAGACCAAATTATTAAGATTTATATAAACATGACACTTTAGTTGTGCAATTGGAGTAATCATTTAGCTTATTGTTGGAGCGAGTACATGTTAGTACATTGGAAATTTTGTATGATTAAATCATGTTCTACTGATTTTTGTCCGTCAAAGACGGATATATTTTAGCTTATTATCGTTTTGCTATCCGTTTCTTAGTCTCCATACATAGAGATTCCCCACCTTGACCAAAGTTACTAAGGTAGAGGTAGAAATTGCTTCAACTATGCTCTTTATCACATATACCCTTGATCTCCACAAAGCTGACAGCATTGGGTGGATATGGTGGATAGGGTGGGAGACGACTACGTTTGTCATGCATTATATATTACACCAAATGCTAGTTTCGTCTACCTTAGACTCATCACTGACGCTTGAGACAGTAAGAAGGCCAAATAAATAACGAAGAGCATTAAGAACAAAAATGAGAAAAAAACTAGTGCCAAATCTAGTTGAGGCTATCTCTGCCTGTGTGTAGAAGATGATTTAGAAAGGAATTTTCATAATATTTTAAAGGAAAGTGAGCATATAACTGACAGGACAGGGTATCAATACTTAAAATTGAATTTGAACACTGGTAATAGTGTAATAGTGTAGTAGGAAACATAAATACCATAAAGGCAAGAAATTGTTATAGTGATTTTAAATAGGAATTATGTGCTAAACAAAAGTACCGAAAACCTGCTGATTGACGGTATAATCCTTGAAAAGAAAATACCCAACGCGTAGTATATATCTCCGTTTGAACTGGAAAATAACCTTTTGCAATCCTATATTCTTTAAAAGAAGGCTCTTAGGACCATCATATACCCTAGCGAGAGGGCCTATAAGATATCTTTTAAACTAAATAAGATATCTTATATAGCTTTAAACAAGATATCTTGTAAAGTTTTTAAGATATATTTAAAAGTTTACAAAATATTTTATTTACTTTATGAGATATCTTATTAACATTATAAGATATCTTATTAACGTTATAAGATATCTTATAAGCTACACAAGATATCTTATATGATTGATTTATCAAATATCTTATTTAGTTTTTAAGATATATTATCAACTTTATAATATATCTTGAAAATGGAATAAATATAATAACGGTTTGCTATACTATGGCACACCTAGACATACATTTGTGTGCTGACCAATCATAATTCACAATGATATTAAACTGTTGGCGAGAATCAGTTGACGACAATAAGTCTATCATTTATCTTTCGTCCCTCTTTTACAAACATATGTGAAGCGAGCAATCATAAGAAGTGAAATATTTAATATTCGATTGTATGATAACATCAAACATAATTATTCCTTTATTGAAAATTCAGTAGTTAAAAATTTTAATGATCTTTAGGCGATAACTAATGATCTATAAAACAGGCTTCAGATTTGATTGAGGGACAAATTCTACAAACAGGCAGATATGCAGGTAATTTTTATTTTAATTATATTAATATGATCAACATAAAATCATTTCTTTTAAGTTTTGTGTCTTAAATGAATTTCATATATATGAATTACGAACACTAAAGTTTGAAAATATTTGCTTTGCGTCTGAAATATTTCTTATCTGTTCGTTGTTTAAATTAAAATTTGTTTTGTGTTATTAATCGTTTTGTCAACACTTACCCTTACTGTTGAATACTGTTGCTATAATGTGAGGGTACCCAAAATGCACCTATCTTGACAGCTTTTTCACCTACGCTTATTTTTGATCAAGACAAAAGTTTCCATTCTGAGTTTATTTTGTAGATGTATCCTTATTTTGATACTATATAGTTCCGCCAATTTAATTTTGAATCCATATTGAATCATAGAAAAATGGTTTGAACCGACCTCCAAACGATCCATGATTCTGTAATGAGGAGTACCCAAATTGCATTCATGCTTAAATTCATATTCTTAAAAATCGAATAACAGATGTTTTGTTTCATTTCGTCAAATATTTAGAACAATTCGACATTAGCCCATGTTTACTATTCATTTTTAAAAAATGGATGCTTGTAACATGTTTTATTAGCTAATTTTTAAAAGATGACTTTTTGTGGACGTCGCATGGCGACGTTTCCGTAGATTTTACTTTTTCAAGTGAATACTTCATCTGATGATATATACAATTAAAGTTTTGTGCATATTTACATAAATCTAGCTATGTTGGATGACGTGCATAATGTCAAATCATAAAAATACAAATTGTTTAGTCTTGTTTAATCTTGTAAGATTTCCGCTGCTTTTTTTTTTTTTTTGCTAAATAGGTGCAATTTGGGTACTCGGTGCAATTTGGGTACTGTGACGTTAGACTTGTTATCAGGAATTGAGAGCAGTTTTTGTACGGTATTATATGGTCCTGTTGTTTTGTGTTCTTGATCGGTTTTGTTAACACTTACTCTTACTATTGAATACGTGTTGCTATAGACTTGTTTTAAGGAATTGAGAGCAGTTTTGATACGGTATTATATAATCCTGTTGTTTTGTGTGTATTTTATGTTCTGTAATTTATTTTAAGATAAGTGGTTACGTTTTATTTGATTTTTTGTTTTATTTTGATCTTGTGTTCCACGAATCAAAATAAAAAGGGACTTTTAGATGTTAAAAGCAATAGATGTGCCCTGTCCAAAATTATTTTCCCAAGTGTTTTTTTTTATTCTGTTGTCAGATAATAAGCATGTTTGCGCCTATCCCAAGTCAGAAACCTCTAGCCTTTGTTAGTCATGATGCGTTTCTTTTTAAATTTTGGTTCATTTGTATGTTCCGGAGTTTAGTGTGGCGACCATTTCGCTGAACTAGTATACATTATTGTTTAGGGGCCAGATGAAGAACGCCTACATGTGCGGAATTTTCTCGCTACCTTGCAGACCCATTGGTGGCCTTTGGCTGTTTTCTGCTCTTTGGTCGGGTTGTTGTCTCTTTGACACATTCCTCGTTTCCATTCTCTATTTCATAACTTTTAAATATGACTGAAAACTTTAATATTGATGGGTTTTAGCATATATTATCGAGTATTTTTAAAAAAGTCTTTTAAAAGATGATTTCTGGTGGAAATAAGGCTATGTATTACTTTTCACATATAAAGATATAATAACATTTCGTTTATGAGACATATTGTCTCAGATCATTAACTCTTTAGTCCCGTTACAGTTTCTAAATTCATAATGAGTATTCCTTAAAGACTTAAGTGGAAACATCTTAAATTTCAAAATTTGTTGATGTGTATACATATAATTAATGCTGTATATATTTATGGTGACTATAGCTGATAGCATTTCAAACGTACTTTTTATTGTTATTGTTTTTGGTGTGCGAGATTCTCAAAAATAATTTTCTTCGTGAGATTGCGTTTGTACATATTATCCGGAAATTTTCAAATTGTAGTTATGTTGACCTTTTTATTTGAACTTAAAATATTGCTTTTATCTATATATCGAGAGAGATATAGAGAGAGTTTCGTCGTAGAATAGACAACAAAATTAAAAACCCTTGGTTTTTTGTCTCTTTATGGTTTAAAAAAAATCTTTTTTACAACTATTTTTTGGTATACATTCACAATGATAATATAATAAATTATCCTTTACATGTATTAAAATATAATTTTGGAGCAAACAATAATCATATTTATGGTAAACTGCTCTCTTATTTTGGTAATTTCACATTATTTCTCTGGGCTCTATAAATATGGGCAAATATTCACCAACTGAGATAATAAGTATTATTGTGTACTTGTGTCAGTTTTAGTTTCAGAAATGTAGAGCAAATTAAATATTCAACTCGCGTGAAGCGTTCATGTGTTCACATTTTGCTTTTCTTTTTTTTTTTTAAATAGAAAGTAACTTGTATTGAATTCACTAATTATTCTATGTGCCTACTTGTTTTCTATTTGTAGACTAAAGTATTTGTAGTGGTTCTAATTGTAGCGGTATTGCTAATAACCGCTGAAGCACAAAGCTGCAGGAAGAAATGTGAAAACAAGGACGATAAGTGTACGAAAGAATGCAGAAAAAACCATCCTAATAACCATGATAAGAAGAAAAAATGTTTCAACAACTGTGATGACGCGGAAAGAAAGTGTAAAAAGAAGTGCAACAAACGTGACCTGTTTTCTGACCTCGAATTTGACCTGGAGGAAAATCAGTAAAAGATTCTATAATGCAGTCAAAACGAAAATATTATTAATAAATATATGAAAAGGCATTTATTTTCTGTGTTGCTCTTTGTATGTTTTTTCTCCTTTTTTTTGTCTTTCTGACTTACATTTAACAACATTACGTTCCTTCTTCATTTGACAGTCGCCACTAGTTGTTTGTCTATATCCTTGTCCTATGATCCTTAGTGGATAGTTGTCTTATTGGGCAGCCAATTTAGAGGCTGATTTAGGGGATTTACGGGGATCCCGTCCTCCCTACACATTTAATACGGTGGCGGATTCAAAGGGGGGGGTTGGAGTTCGTATGACCTGTGACTCGAAAAATTTCGCTTTTTTTGGCAAAAAATGTTAAAAAAAATCGCATTCCTACGCTCGGCAATCTTTTTAACATTTTCCAGGATTATACCCTGTTCCTTTCCTCGGACCCAGGATCCGCCGCTGGGGTAATGCATAGACTTTTTTACAAGTCCCACTCCTGATGTTGCCTTGGTGACCCCCTTTTCAAACTCATGGATCCGCATCTGGTCATACAATGGGCGCATTGCTTTTGCAACAATTTTTAAAAAACACAGCATTTCATTTGCGCCACAGGATTGTATTTTATTTGCGCCAATTAATAGGTATAATATAAGTTAAATTTAATATAAGTTGTATCGTGAAAACGAGGCTCGTATAAGAAATGTTGTAGAGTTTCCCCCATTATGTAAGTAAGTGCGTTCATACTCATTTCTCATACAAAACTAGGAGTTACTTTTAAAAAGGTATAAAATTGTATAGTGTTCACAAGTTCGAGGTGACAAAATGAACATAATTCATTCGGAGACAAACAGAGGAGGAAATACGTCTGTAATTTTTTTAAGACCTCACATTTAGGATATCTAATGTATTGAAAAACGGAGACAAAACGTATAGATCTACGCAAAAGAGTTGCAAAGCCAGAATCACAATGGATGTGGACAGCAAAACCATTATAACGATATTGAATGATACAGTCAATTATGATTTAACCATCAATAAGTAAAATTTAAGCATTAAAAAAAAAACTCATCAGTGTTCTATGCATTCATTTTGGATTTTTGATGAATGCGATTTATGATGAATATGTTATATTATGCTATCAACACTATGTTTTAACATTATTATTTAGAGTCTCTTTTCAATATATATCTATTGTATATACTACTTACTGGTAATATTGGCGCAATTGGAATATGGGTTGTGGCGCAAATGAAAGATTATTTTGGTCCAAAAGCAATGCACCACATACCAGATAAAAAACAAAGATACGACGGTGTAGAAGGAATATGAGACGATCTTTTACAGTCGAGTTGTATCGACTTTATACACCAAACGTGTAATGTTATTGCAGCCATTTCTATAACTACAACTTGAATAGAACATGATTTCCTCCCTAAATTACAACTGTACCTACCGAGGGTCCAACTCGGGAACGCTTGCACAATAAGTCAGTCATATCAACTGGACTAAAGAAGTACAATAAATGCTTTAATTGAAAACCTCACAGGCTGCGGGAGGTTGAATAAAGTTGCAGAAAGTTTAGCTAGGTTTTGGTGTTGAACATAGTCTATTTGTTATTTAGACTCACAAGACAGGGGACTGTACCGGCGCTTCCCGTTACCTAGGAGATTTATAAACACCATCCATTAGTTGCACTATCGGAGTACTCCTCAAGCTTTGTTGATAGAGAGGTGGCTTACTGTAAAATTGGTCCCGAGTTTTTGAGAAAAATTATGATTTGCTGCTATCTATCCGTCAAATACGGATACTATTTTGAATATTGTTGTTCGTACGTCCGTCAGTTAGTCCAAACTTAAACACCTCAAATCTTATATTTTAAACTAAGTTTACCAACTTTGACCTATTCCGGCATATGGATTTATCATTTATAACTTTTTAGTTGTAATGTTCACAAAAAGACATCTTTAGAAAACATAAACCCTCTTCTTTTCAGAAATTTTTGTTGTTGCTACAAATCATATGGTCGGTTGCATTTTAATCGTTTTGCACAATTACACTCCCCTCTTTTCCCGGACATGGATCCGCCCCTGTTTTCACTTTTGAACCTTCAATATTTTAACTTTTTAAATAAATTATGAAAACGACAATATGCACTTGAATGTGTTATTTCAATAACATAGTTTAACAGATACTATCTCAAAAATGAAAGATTGTTTCGAAATAACTGATGAATATAAACTATTTGTTTTGTTGCCTTTATAAGAAGATTTTCTTTGATTTCTGTTCTATTGTTTCTGCTTCATTAGTTCATAGTTCATACACTGGAAAAGCGGAAGTCACGAAAATTTCGAAAACTATGTATTGAAATCCCATATTTAATATAAGTAATAGTTCCCTAAAGAATAAGCTTAAAAAGATATCCAAAAAAGTATGATCTCGACAGCTCTTACAGCCAGCAAACAACCATGCGACAAACATATTGACACACTGAAGCAAGATATTTCGTAGACGAAAAGCTGCAATCGGAATAAGGCTTAGTATGGAATAGGTGTTCTTAAACCACAATGATTTATAAAGAACGTTTAAAGATTTGGAAACATAAGATGTAAACATTGATTTTTTTTTTTTTTTGGGGGGGGGGGGGGTCGTCTTGAAAGAACTCCATAATGGTATCTACTTTTTCCACGCCCATCTGCACGACATCAACATATATACTATAAGGCGGTTTAAAGGTGCGTGCAACCTGGCAAAAAAAACCCCGGATAAATCTGAGGTGGACTGACCATTCCACACAGCCGGGTAGTAGTACACCTTGAGTTAAGCCTCGTCGACATGCAGGCTCTCGCCGGAAACAAAACAAAAATTATCAATTGAATGCAATTGAAAATTTCAGTATATATATATGGTCAATGAAAACAAAAACAGGACAGAAATTAATCGTAGCAGGATGCCAAAACTGCTTGGTTTCGACAAAGGGAAATTAAGAGTACTTGTTCATCAAGATCGGATTTTTAACGGAGAGATCAAGCAGGCTATTTATCTAACTAATAAAGTGCATCGGAATTTGAATCCGGCTCCTATGGTTATCAAACTAAAATAAAAATTTGCGTAATACAGTTATGCTATTTCTGGGAAACAGTTGTACACTTACTGGTGAACACACTGTTGGTATTAACGTGTATCCATGATGGTGAACAGTTGGTTTTAGATTATACCCTTCCTGCTAACAGACTGTTGGTTTTAAATTGTACCCTTGTTGGTTAACCGTTGGTTTTAAATTGAATCCTTGTTGGGTTAACAGTTGGTTTTAAATTGTACCCTTGTTGGTTAACAGTTGGTTTTAAATTGTACTCTTGTTGGTTAACAGTTGGTTTTAAATTGTACCCTTGCTGGTGGAGTTGTTTTAAATTGTACACTTACTGGTGAACAGACTGTTGGTATTAACTTGTATCCATGATGGTGAACAGTTGGTTATAGATTATACCCTTCCTGCAAACAGACTGTTGGTTTTAAATTGTACCCTTGTTGGTTAACAGTTGGTTTTAAATTGAATCCTTGTTGGGTTAACAGTTGGTTTTAAATTGTTCCCTTGTTGGTTAACAGTTGGTTTAAGATTTTACCAATACTGTTGAACAGTTAATTTAGAATTGTACCCTTTCCTGTGAGCAGTTGGGTTTTGAATAGTACCCTTGCTGGTGAACAATTGGTTTTAAATTGTACCCTTGCTGGTGAACATACTGTTGATATTAACTTGTATCCATGATGGTGAACAAGTGCTTTTAAATAATACCCTTCCTAGAGAACAGACTTTGTTTTAAATTTTACCAATGCTTGTGAACAGTTGGTTGAAATTGTACCCTTGTCGGTGAACATTTGGTTTTGAATTACACCTTGCCGATCGACAGTTGGTTTTAAATTGTTCCCTTGTCGGTGAACATTTGGTTTTGAATTACACCTTGCCGATCAACAGTTGGTTTTAAATTGTTCCCTTGTCGGTGAACATTTGGTTTTGAATTACACCTTGCCGATCAACAGTTGGTTTTATATTGTTCCCTTCCTGGCTGACAGTTGCTATTAAATTATATCCTTCCTAGTGAACAGTCTGTTTTAAATTGCACCCTTGCTGGTTAACAGTTGGTTTTAAATTGTACCCTTGTCGGTGAACATTTGGTTTTGAATTACACCTTGCCGATCGACAGTTGGTTTTAAATTGTTCCCTTGTCGGTGAACATTTGGTTTTGAATTACACCTTGCCGATCAACAGTTGGTTTTAAATTGTTCCCTTGTCGGTGAACATTTGGTTTTGAATTACACCTTGCCGATCAACAGTTGGTTTTATATTGTTCCCTTCCTGGCTGACAGTTGCTATTAAATTATATCCTTTCTAGTGAACAGTCTGTTTTAAATTGTACCCTTGCTGGTTAACAGTTGGTTTGAAATTGTACCAATGCTGGTGAACAGTTTGTTTTTAATCTTACCAATGCTGGTTAACAGTTGGTTTTAAATCTTATCAATGCTGGTAAACAGTTTGTTTTAAATCTTACCAATGCTGGTTAACAGTTGATTTTAAATCCTACCAATGCTGTTGAACAGTTGGTTTTAAATCTTACCAATGCTGGTGAATAGTTGGTTTAATAAAATCGTACCATTGCTGGTGTACAGTTGGTTTTAAATTGTACCCTTGCCGGTGAACATTTTGTTTTAAATCACCCCTTGCCTGTGAACAGTTGGTTTTAAATATGCCCTTGCTGATAAACAGTTGGTTTTAAAATGTACCCTTGATGGTGAACAGTTGGTTTTATTGAAAATTGAATCCTTGCTAGTGAACAATTGGTTTTGATTGAACCCTTGATGGTGAACAGTTGGTTTTTAATTGTACTACTTTTGGTTTTAAATGCACAATTTATGGTTGACTAGTTTTAATTGCAGCTTTTTGTTGAACTACATTGGCATTCTCTACTGTATTGCTCTACCTGTTTTAATTGCACCCTTTCTTGTTTGATTTTAATTGTTCATTTTCTGATCACCTGGTTTTAAAAGTCCCTTTTCTAGTTAACAGGTGGTTTTACTCG